GCTAAACGGGGGGTTTTTTTTTTTTTTTTTTGCAGTTAATTTAGACAGATGAGATAATGAAGAGAGCGAGAGGTTTTTTTTTATTTTTTTTTGAAGGGCTGAAGCCACTTACTGCTATAGAAAATAGAAAATATATTTTTTTTGTTTTTTTTTCTTTTGATTTTTTAAGAGAAGGTAGAAATCAAGATGTATATGGTTTTTTTTTTTTTTTTTTACATGTGAGATTTGGATGTGAGAGGCAGTGTAGTATAGTGGCTTTTTTTTTGTTTTTTTTTGCCAGTCTACTTGCGTTTGAATTCTGGCTTTGAATCTTAGTAGTTTTTTTTCTTTTTTTTTGTTACCTTACCTCTCTGTTTTAGCTTCCTGATCCACACAATAGGGATACTAATAGTACCTGCCTTCTGGGGTTGTTATGAAATATAAATGAGTTAACGCATGTATTTTTTTTATTTTTTTTTCCCTGTTTAGCTACATAAGTGTAGCCTAAATGTCCTACGTGTATTTTTTTTCTTTTTTTTTCAGACCAGGTGGCCCTGTTTAGCTATATACATATAAGCTAAATTTTTTTTTCTTTTTTTTTGTCTTATAGGACACTCTTTAAATTAATAGTGGGCAACCTCTGGTTTTTTTTCTTTTTTTTTGTAGGTGAACCGTAAGTAGTCCGATCATACAATCTATCACCTATTTTTTTTATTTTTTTTTGAAAGTGAAAGGGGGCTGTATTACTAGTCATGCTGAGACAACATTTTTTTTTTTTTTTTTTCTGGTCAAACTGGTCTCCCTGCTCCTAAGTGCCATCTTTGTACTTTTTTTTATTTTTTTTTAGCTTTTACCAATAAACTTCCGAATGCCAGGCCATGTACATGTTTTTTTTTTTTTTTTTTTTGTGGAATCTTCACAGCGATCCTAGGAGGTGTCATTATTCATATTTTTTTTATTTTTTTTTTACTGATGAGGAAACTGAGGCACAGAGAGGTTAAGGAATTTTCTTTTTTTTCTTTTTTTTTGAGTCAGTCAAGTTCCAGAGCCTTACCTCTTAGGTGTGCTGTTCTCTCCCGTGGGTGCAAAGCAGTGCTAATAATGTTGAACCTCTCATGCCTGTAATCCCAGCACTTGGGGAGGCTGAGGCAGGCGAATCACATGAGGCCAGGAGTTCGAGACCAGCCTGACCAGCATGGAGAAACCCCATCTCTACTAAAAATACAAAAATTAGCCAGGCATGGTAGTGCACGTTTTTTTTTCTTTTTTTTTGGGAGGCTGAGGCACGAGAATCGCTTGAACCTGGGAAGTGGAGTTTTTTTTGTTTTTTTTTCAGCCACTCCAGCCTGGGATACACAACAAGATTATGTCTAAAATTTTTTTTATTTTTTTTTCTTTTCTCAAAGGGATCATTGAGACCCAGGATGGTGTGGCTCTTTTTTTTTGTTTTTTTTTGGCATGGCAGGACTGTGCTGGGAGTACAGGAGAGTCCCAGGTGTTTTTTTTATTTTTTTTTGATATTTCACAGCACCTCACAGCGTGTGACAAGGAACTGCACATTTTTTTTTTTTTTTTTTGATTGGTGCCAAGTGCACTTCATCAGGTTGCTGTAGCCAGTTCTTTTTTTTCTTTTTTTTTTTATGTGCAGCTGGTGAAAGTAGATCCCTGTCAGCCACCTAAACCTGACACCTCCTTGGCTGGTGCGTTACCCCAGACCCACACACTGAAAGGACAGCTGAGGATTTTTTTTTTTTTTTTTTTGGAACAGCCAAATAAGGGTGCCCACCTATAGCACCAGCTTTGTTTTTTTTCTTTTTTTTTCCTTTAAGCAAGGGTGAAGAAGAAAGATCTGCCCTCATGAAAATTTTTTTTGTTTTTTTTTAAGTGTTCAGACAATAGTTTCAGAGAAAAAAGAATACTCCAACTTTTTTTTGTTTTTTTTTTGCTTTGACTGTCAAGTGTCCTTGCCAGGACACAAGGACCGGGTTTTTTTTTTTTTTTTTTGACCACCTGGCAGTGACAGAGGGTGACCCAGGGCTGGGGGGATTTTTTTTTGTTTTTTTTTGGCTCTGAAAGGTACTTTGCCATTCCATCTACTTCAGTAATAGTTTTTTTTTTTTTTTTTTAATAAAATCTGGAGGGGAAAAATGCTCGCTGTGTTGTCAATAATTTTTTTTTTTTTTTTTTTGACCAATGTCATTGACTTATCACTCTTGACCCAAATGGAAATTTTTTTTTGTTTTTTTTTACCCAAGTTTATCCTTTACTCTACCTTGGTCTCCATTTGCAAATTTTTTTTATTTTTTTTTGCATCAGATGAAGTTAGAAAATATCAGCCAATCGTTGCAGAATTTTTTTTTTTTTTTTTTTCATTTTCAATGGAAAGCCTATGCCTTCTTCTAAGCTACAGAGCTTTTTTTTTTTTTTTTTTTAGTCCTGCTGAAGTTCAACCTAGGAAACTTATTGAGGGTCCATTTTTTTTCTTTTTTTTTTTTCATTTTATTCTTGAAAAAGAAAATGCTCCTAATCACTGCATTTTTTTTATTTTTTTTTGTTAAAAAAAAAAAAAAAACACCCAAAAACTCAACTCTGGCTATTTTTTTTATTTTTTTTTTATTAGAAGGATCCTGGGGCAGCTCACAAAACCAAAGGAACTATTTTTTTTCTTTTTTTTTGTGAGGTTTGTGCCCCTTCTCCAGGGCAGCTCCCTGGTTCCAGTTTTTTTTCTTTTTTTTTCAGATTCCTGGAGAGAGAGAACCTGGCTGGCCCAGTTAGGTCTGGTGTCGAAAAGGGAAGGGTTATGCAGTACCAACACTGGGGGCCACCACTATGTATCAACCTTTTTTTTATTTTTTTTTAGAATTCCTTTTGCACTGGACAACCACCGCTATAACCATAATATTTTTTTTTTTTTTTTTTTTATCTGCCCCGTGGCTGCATGGCAACTGTGTGAAGGTCAAGGTTTTTTTTTTTTTTTTTTCTGAGGACTGTTTGACTTAGGACAGTCCATCTGGCTCACATCGTTTTTTTTATTTTTTTTTAACCAACCCACTCACTCAGCTTCCATCGAGAGGTTTGACTAGTTTTTTTTTATTTTTTTTTGGAGAAGGAAAGAAGGGGTGGGGGAATCCTTGGCTTGAACACGTGAATGCCTGTCAGAGCGGGCCCTATCCATGGGAGCACTGGGGCATTTTTGTCCCATGGGTTTTTTTTTTTTTTTTTTTTTGGGATCTTCAGATGAGCATAACTCTAACTCTCTGGTGTCCATTTTTTTTTTTTTTTTTTGCATCAGTGTCTCCCCAGTCCCAGGAAGGAGGAAACAATGGATTTTTTTTTGTTTTTTTTTGCAAAGAGGTCCCCCTGGTTCCCAAACATGAACTCCTGTTCCCTTTTTTTTTTTTTTTTTTTGTCTAGCAGTAGGCTGAGGGATCCCGCTCATCCACCTTTTAATTTTTTTTATTTTTTTTTCAGCTGAGAGACTGGAAAAGAGAGAAGGATTGATCAGTTCACTTTTTTTTTTTTTTTTTTTTCCAGGCTGAGGGGAGAAGGTTGAACAGCCAGAGAAGAGGCCATTTTTTTTGTTTTTTTTTTGGGCTGAAGCTTGGGAAGTGAGGGGCACTGGGCCTGTCCAGCTTTTTTTTATTTTTTTTTGGGATGCAACGCCTCTGGGACATGTATGAAGCATATGTGTTACTTTTTTTTATTTTTTTTTGGGAAAGGAAGTAGCAGTCCCAGCTAGGCTGTGGCACATGGTGTTTTTTTTGTTTTTTTTTTGCATGAATTTGCTCTGCTTCTGTGGGTCCTCCGTGTGATGGTTTTTTTTTGTTTTTTTTTCAGTGGTGCCCTGGCAGGGGGAGAATGGGAGCTGACATCCAATTTTTTTTTCTTTTTTTTTGCCATGAGCTTGAGAAGCTGCAAAGAGATGCCGTGTAGGCTGTTTTTTTTTGTTTTTTTTTTTAGTCTTTAGCTTAGATCTGGTACCTGAAGAGCCTCCACGTATTTTTTTTTTTTTTTTTTTGCTTGGCCCACTTGGTGTAATTTCCAGAATTTCCATGCTCCTTTTTTTTTATTTTTTTTTCTCTACTGGCAGCAAGACAGAATTTTTATGTTTTTTAATTTTTTTTTTTTTGTTTTTTTTTCTTGCTCTGTCGCCCAGGCTGGAGTGCAATGGTGCCATGTCAGTTTTTTTTATTTTTTTTTTCCCGGGCTCAAGTGATCTGCCTGCCTCAGCCTCCCGAGTAGCTTTTTTTTCTTTTTTTTTCCACCACACCCAGCTAATTAGAGAAGAAAAATTTTAGTAGAGATTTTTTTTTTTTTTTTTTCCTAGGCTGGTCTCAAACTCCGGGGCTCAAGTGATCTTCCCACTTTTTTTTCTTTTTTTTTTGGGATTACAGACGTGAGCCACTGTGCCCAGCTCACAAGATAGTTTTTTTTATTTTTTTTTTTGAGCCTCTTTTTCTCTTTCTAGTTCTTTAAGATTAAAGAAATTTTTTTTGTTTTTTTTTCTGAAGCCCTTACAGGCAGAGGTGTCCTCAGCTGTGGGTGTGGTTTTTTTTGTTTTTTTTTAGAGATATTCTGAGTGGGGAGAAACGTTCTCTATTGATGACACTTTTTTTTCTTTTTTTTTGCAGCAGCATGGCCCTGCCTTCGACCCAATGCTGAGAGGACAGGGGCCTCGGGAAGGGGAGACTGAAGCCAGGACAGGGCGGGATGCTCAGAAAGAATGACAGTTTTTTTTTTTTTTTTTTTGGACACCCTCCATCAGGACAAAAGAGCTGGGCCTCCACTCCCTTTTTTTTTGTTTTTTTTTCCACGGGCTCTTCACCTGCCCCATGAACTCAGGATTAGGGAACTTTTTTTTGTTTTTTTTTTCTTTACCCTGACACTCTCGAGCCACTTGAGATGGGCACTTGATTTTTTTTCTTTTTTTTTTGTGTGCACAATTCTCTAAAGTGGCCTTGATGCCATGTTCATATTTTTTTTATTTTTTTTTCATCTCCCCTTTCTCTCTGGCCGAGCAGATGCAGGAGCTGGAGCAGAGGCTGCTGGAGGCAGAGCAGAGAGCAGAGAATGCCGAGACCCAGGTAACCAGGGGAGTTTTTTTTCTTTTTTTTTCAGGGGATTGACTGTCGGCCCTTCCAGGCCCTTCCCATGGACATTTTTTTTCTTTTTTTTTACCAGCAGTGCTGTGTTATACCTGAACCAATGAGTGTGCATGGTTTTTTTTGTTTTTTTTTAGTCTTTGGGTAAAGATCCATATGGCAACTGGGAATAGTATTCTTTTTTTTCTTTTTTTTTCTATGGTAACAAATTAAGTCTGAAGTCTCAGTGGTTTATCACATTTTTTTTTTTTTTTTTTAACCTGTCCATTGAGGGTTAGCCAGTGATTCCACTTCCACAGTTTTTTTTTATTTTTTTTTAAAGGAAGCTTGCCTACCTTACAGCTGGACCACTTGGAATACATTTTTTTTTTTTTTTTTTTGGCAAAGAAAGAAAGCTGGATGTCTGTGCACTAGCTTTTACTTTTTTTTTATTTTTTTTTATTTTTATTTTTTATTAGAGATGGGGTCTTGCTGTGTTGCCCATTTTTTTTTTTTTTTTTTGGGCTCAAGCTATCCACCCACCTCAGCCTCCCAAAGTGCTGGGTTTTTTTTCTTTTTTTTTGCACCTGACCTTATTTATTTATTTATTTATTTCTAGAGACAGGTTTTTTTTATTTTTTTTTGCTGGTCTGAACGCCTGGGTTCAAGCAATCCTCCTGCATCAACTTTTTTTTGTTTTTTTTTTACAGGTGTGAGCCACTACACTCACCCTGCACCAGCTTTTAAATTTTTTTTCTTTTTTTTTTGCAGCAGTATGCACCTATGGTCCCAGCTACTTGGGAGGCTGATTTTTTTTGTTTTTTTTTGCTCAGGAGTTTGAATCTAGCCTGGGCAATATAGCAAGATCCTTTTTTTTTTTTTTTTTTTTTAAATAAATAAATATATACATACATACATACTTGAGTCCAGATTTTTTTTATTTTTTTTTCTTGGACCCCATTGGTTGGATCAATGACATGGCTCCATCTAGCTTTTTTTTGTTTTTTTTTTATGAGGCAGCACATGGCCGTCCAGTGAACAGTAAATATCTCTTTTTTTTTGTTTTTTTTTCAGTTGCTCTCCTAGGCTGTTTGTCCTGCTCAGTTCATTCCTATTTTTTTTCTTTTTTTTTAATGGCACAAGGCCAGCTGCTTTTTCCACTTATCGTCTCCTCTTTTTTTTTCTTTTTTTTTTCTCCATTACTATGACCTAGAGTAGCCAAAATGAGTTTCTTCTTTTTTTTTCTTTTTTTTTCTCAGATTGGAGCTTTATAAATGATAATTGGATTAATTGGCTCTTTTTTTTATTTTTTTTTAGATGGGGTCTTGCTGTGTTGCCCGGGCTGGTCTCAAACTGCCTTTTTTTTATTTTTTTTTGCATCAGAGGGTGTCCCATCCCACGTTACTGGCCACTGCACACTTTTTTTTATTTTTTTTTGGTACTATGAGATCATTGTACTTTTCAGGTGGGTGTCATGGAATTTTTTTTATTTTTTTTTAATCTGAAGAATGTGGACTCTGGGGGGAGCCTGCACCAGAAATTTTTTTTTTTTTTTTTTTCCATAAAGGGCAAAGATGAGCTCATCAGCCAGCTGGAGGCTCATTTTTTTTATTTTTTTTTGGCTCATGCGCAAGGGAGCACCATGCCCTCTTCGACATCTGTCTTTTTTTTCTTTTTTTTTCTGAGCTGGTCTGCTCAAGCCCTCAAGTGCTGGGGAACTCACTTTTTTTTTATTTTTTTTTTTTATGTGGAAATTTCATTATAGGAAGGGCTGTTCCTCCCACATTTTTTTTTTTTTTTTTTAGCAGGTGATAGAGTAGAACAAGGAGCTTGGAGGCAGACTGACTTTTTTTTGTTTTTTTTTTCTAGCACCTGCTGCTTCTGACAGTGGGCAAAGCTTTTAAGCCTTTTTTTTTTTTTTTTTTCATTTATAAAAGAAGGTGGAAACACCTCATAGGGCTGTTGGGATTTTTTTTCTTTTTTTTTTGTGCCTAGCGTCAGGCACGTGGTCAGTACTTGGTAAGGAGAGTTTTTTTTTTTTTTTTTTGGCCTTGTTGTGCCCTGCCAAGATGAGACACTTGATACTTGGCTTTTTTTTGTTTTTTTTTGCGCAGAACTGGATGGTCAGTCATGGCCAGCTGGTTGCCCAAATTTTTTTTATTTTTTTTTAGAGGCAGAGACCAAAGTTGCTGCCTCCTCAGAAAACCAGGGTTTTTTTTTCTTTTTTTTTGGAAGCCCAGGAGAGGCCACGGCCCAGCATTTCATCTCCACTCTTTTTTTTTTTTTTTTTTAGGATTTCTGGAACATCCCCCTGCCGGTTCCTGTGTCCTGCCTTTTTTTTTTTTTTTTTTTACCAACTCCATCCCAGTTCTGTCCCTTTCCTCTGCCACTGACCTCACCTACCCAGCTTTCCCCTTGTGCCAGAGTGCCATCATTTCCAACTAAACACCCCACAGTTTTTTTTGTTTTTTTTTAATTTCCTACACATGCCTTCTCCATGTGGGATCCTGATGGTGCTTTTTTTTCTTTTTTTTTAGATTCATGTTTACCCATCAGCATTCATCAAATAGGCCCTTAATTTTTTTTATTTTTTTTTCTGTGGGGTACCATGTGTTCCTGAAAAATGATGGAAAAATAGATTTTTTTTATTTTTTTTTTCTGACCAATTCTTCCATTGATTTTAGACATACTTTCTCTTCTTTTTTTTTCTTTTTTTTTAGCGGCAGCATCCTGGGGGTTAGTGGACAAAACGACTCTTGCTTTTTTTTTTTTTTTTTTTAAAAATGTCATTTTACAATCAGAATCAGTAGGTCAAGATCATATTTTTTTTGTTTTTTTTTTGTGAGTCAAGAGACCTGGTTTTAGTCCCAGCTGTGCCATGAATTTTTTTTGTTTTTTTTTTTGTTGCCATAGCCTTAGTTGCCACAGAACTACAAAGACAGTATTTTTTTTGTTTTTTTTTGGCCAACTTTTTCTGTAAAGGTCCAGGTAGTAACTATTTTAGGTTTTTTTTGTTTTTTTTTTCTGTTGCAACTGGTCAAAGCTGCTGTTGTAACATGGAAGCAGTTTTTTTTATTTTTTTTTTGAATGAGCATAGCTGTATTACAGTGCAACTTTATTGACAAAATTTTTTTTGTTTTTTTTTAAGCAGATGGAGGACTGGATTTGGCCTGAAAGCCATTGTTTGCTTTTTTTTATTTTTTTTTACCTTTAAGGTCCTTCCAGCTCTGAAATACTGAGAGTCTGACGTTTTTTTTTTTTTTTTTTGGCGTGAGCCACCGTGCCCGGCCAGGCTGCTCCTCTTTAGATACAAACCTTTTCAATCATCTCCTCTTTTGACTATTTTGATGGAAATACCTCAGCGATCTGCATTTTTTTTTTTTTTTTTTACTATAAATGTAATACATACATGCTTATAGTAAAAAATACAAATTTTTTTTGTTTTTTTTTAAACAACAAGTCACCTCTCTCTCCCTCCCCAATCCTTGATTTCTTTTTTTTATTTTTTTTTTTGCTTGCATATGGAAGCACAGCGTTCTCCTTCCATGGCAGGGTTTTTTTTTTTTTTTTTTGCCAACCCCTTAGTGGTGAACACTTAGACTATTTCCAGTTTCATTTTTTTTATTTTTTTTTTACCTTATCAAATAATATTGCAACAAACGATTTCTGCTCACTGTTTTTTTTATTTTTTTTTCATGCACACTTGACGTTTCTTGGTCTCCCACCTCCAGTCAGTCTTTTTTTTGTTTTTTTTTGGGATTAACAGAAGGCCCTCTCTTTCTTGCAGAAGCAGATGAGTTTTTTTTATTTTTTTTTTGTTCAAGAAAAAGCTGCAAAGATCAAGGAATGGGTGACACTCTTTTTTTTATTTTTTTTTTGGAAACTCATCTTGGCGGCCTTCCCCGACCCCCGGAGTTTCCTTTTTTTTTTTTTTTTTTGTGCCTCGGCTGACCTTTGTTCTGTCCAGCACTTGTTCTGCATTTTTTTTTCTTTTTTTTTCACCGTGGTTCACTTCCCCTTTCCTTTTGTCTTGGTTGGGTCTTTTTTTTTCTTTTTTTTTGCTTGGTGCTGGATTTAAGTTTGGGAGAAGGAATGTGTCTCGCTTTTTTTTATTTTTTTTTGTTTCTTTCTAGGAAGCCCATACAGGCCATCATCCACTCGCTCTTTTTTTTCTTTTTTTTTTTATTATTATTATTTATTTATTTATGAGACAAAGAGTCTCGCTTTTTTTTTCTTTTTTTTTTGTAGTGGTGCAATCTCGGCTCACCGCAACCTCTGCCTCCTGGGTTCAAGGGACTCTTGTGCCTCAGCCTCCCTGAGTATCTGGGTTTACAGGCACGCGCTACCTTTTTTTTCTTTTTTTTTTATTTTTAGTAGAGACAAGTTTCACCGTGTTGGCCAGGCTGGTTTTTTTTTCTTTTTTTTTGGTGATTCGCCCACCTCGGCCTCCCAAAATGCTGGGGTTACAGTTTTTTTTCTTTTTTTTTCACTACTTTCTCTTTCATCCTCTTAGTTCTTTTTAACTATTTGTTTTTTTTTTTTTTTTTTTACATAAAATGTACCATTTAAGTGTACAATTCAGTGACATTAATTTTTTTTATTTTTTTTTGCAGCCATCACTGCTATCTATGTCTAAAACTTTTCATCACCCCTTTTTTTTATTTTTTTTTTGCTAAACACTAACTTCCCATTCTCTCTTCCCCCAGCCCCTGGTTTTTTTTATTTTTTTTTCCTTTTCTATCTTCCATTTTTGTAGTTTATCACATGCTGTACCTTTTTTTTGTTTTTTTTTGACTTGAAGCTACAGTGCTATAGCAAACAAACAGAAAACAACCTTTTTTTTATTTTTTTTTGTGGGAATTGCAGTTTGGAAAAGGTCGAACATACTTTTTTTTTTTTTTTTTGTTTTTTTTTCTCGCTCTTGTTGCCCAGGCTGGAGTGCAATGGCGCAATATCGGCTCACTGCAACCTCTGCCTCCTGGGTTCAAGCAATTCTCCTGCCTCAGCCTCCTGAGTAGCTGGGATTACAGCTGGGATTACTAGCCACCATGCCTGGCTAATTTTTGTACTTTTAGTTGAGACGGGTTTCACCATGTTGGCCAGGCTGGTCTTGAACTCCTGACCTCAGGTGATCCACCCACCTCAGCCTCCCAAAGTGCTGGGATTACAGGCGTGAGCCATCACGCCTGGCTGACGAACATTTTTTTTTTTTTTTTTTTTCCCCACACAAGTGGTTCACACCTGCAGGAGGGTATCGGCTCATTTTTTTTTTTTTTTTTTTCTTTAGATGCATATCTCAGGTCACCTGCTAGGCTGCAAGTTCTTTTTTTTATTTTTTTTTCCTGGCTTACCTGCATATTCTCACAGTCCCAACCCTTGCTAAATTTTTTTTATTTTTTTTTTGTTGGACTTAATTTAAAAGAAAATGCAGGCTGGGGGCGGTGACCCATACCTATAGTCCCAGCAGCACTGTGGGAGGCCTAGGCAGGTGGATTGCTTGACACTATTTTTTTTATTTTTTTTTGGCCAACATGGCAAAACCCTGTCTCTACAAAAAATACAAAAATTTTTTTTTCTTTTTTTTTTGCACCTGTAGTCTCAGCTACTCGGGAGGCTGAGGTGGGAGGCTAAGGTAGGAGGATGGCTTGAGCCCTGGAAGCAGAGGTTGCAGTGAGCCAAGATTGCACCACTGCACTCCAGCCTAGGTGGTAGAGCCAGATCTTGTCTCAAAAAAGAAAAGAAAAGAAAAGTTTTTTTTGTTTTTTTTTGCAGTGGCACATGCCTGTAATCCCAGCACTTTGGGAGGCTGAGTTTTTTTTATTTTTTTTTTCCAGGAGTTTGAGACCAGCCTGGGCAACATAGCGAGAGCTTGTCTCTACAAAAAATAAACGAAATTGGCTGGGCCTGGTGGTGTGCGTCTATGGTTCCAGCTACTCAGGAGGCTGAGGTGGGAGGATCACTTGGGCCTGGGAGGTCAAGGCTGCAGTGAGCCAATTTTTTTTCTTTTTTTTTCAGTCTGGCCAACAGAACGAGACCCTTTATTTAAAAAAAAAAATTTTTTTTATTTTTTTTTTAAACCTGTAGGCTGGGTGTCCTAAATCTTCATTTTTCTTTTTTTTTTTTTTTTTTTTTTTAATCAGCATCTGAAAAGCCATAATCAGCACCTGGTGGAGCAGGTTTTTTTTCTTTTTTTTTCACTAGAAGGTAGGCAGGCCAGGGTGTGCAGGTGTGCAGTAGGTTTTTTTTGTTTTTTTTTGGCTGAGCTACGGGAGCTCTCAATGTGACTGTTTTTACCCCAATTTTTTTTATTTTTTTTTCTCCTTCGCGGAAGCTGCTGGTGCCCTCCCACGGAGCTGCAGATTTTTTTTCTTTTTTTTTAGAGCCGGGAATCCAGCCCACGGGCCAGAACAGTGGCTCCCAGGCCGAGGGTCTGAAGGCAGCTGTGCTTGCACCTTCCCCAGGTGCCCTGCAGAGCAAGGACTTTTTTTTTGTTTTTTTTTGTCCCTTGGAGGATTCTAGTTCCAGCACGGTCCATTCTGGGGATTTTTTTTATTTTTTTTTCCTTCAACCTCATCTGGGAAGAGAGGGCCCTCCCCACCAGCCATTTTTTTTGTTTTTTTTTTTCAGATGTGGTTCAGCTTCCTGGGGTGAGGGTCTGGTTACTGCCCAGAGAGGGATGCTCCCTGGGACAAAGACCTCTGCCAGGGAAGGTGGCCCTGGCAGCAGTCTGACCCTACCAAAGGTGCGGACTCCTGGCACCCCACGGGACAGCATCCAGTTGACCAAAAGGCACCACAGCCAGCCCCAGGTGGGCCATGGGCACTTTGACCGTGTGGTGAGCATTGAGATTTTTTTTTTTTTTTTTTTCCACCCCTCTGGCCTTCCTGAGCTGGAGTCCCGAGCTAGGTATTTTTTTTATTTTTTTTTGATGGAGATGGAGGAGCCACCCCCAGCAGGGAAGAATGAGGAATTTTTTTTCTTTTTTTTTCTTGGAGCTGAGCTGGAGGAAGTGGAGCTGGGTAACAAGCCACCTACACCCCCGCTGCACCAGTTTTCATCCTGGGTAAGAGGCAAGCTCCGGGCTGGGCAGAATTTTTTTTCTTTTTTTTTGAACACTGCTGGCTGAGCACAACCATGCACTGAGCAGGAAAGGTTTTTTTTGTTTTTTTTTTGGTGGCCGTGGCAGGCAGGTACCATGGAGCCTGTGCAGACCATTTTTTTTGTTTTTTTTTGAGCTAGAATTCAGAATGATGTGAATGGCAGTTGACTGTCATTTTTTTTTTGTTTTTTTTTCACCATACATCAAGCTGGGTGCCTTGCATACCTTTTCTCATTGTTTTTTTTGTTTTTTTTTAGATGGTCTGGTATAATGGTCAAGAGCATAGGCCCCAGAAGCATTTTTTTTGTTTTTTTTTGTTAACTATGTGACCTTGGGCATGTTACTGAACCTCTGTGCCTTTTTTTTTCTTTTTTTTTAATGGGGATAATAGTACCTACTTTATAAGGTTGTTATGAAAGTTTTTTTTTTTTTTTTTTTCAGTAGGTGGCAGGTAAATGTTGGCTCCCTTCTCCTTCTCCTTTTTTTTTTCTTTTTTTTTCCCCTTCCCCTTTCCCTTTCCCTTCCCTTCCCTTCTTGCCCAGTTTTTTTTGTTTTTTTTTGATCTTGGCTCACTGCAACCTCTGCCTCCTGGGTTCAGGCAATTCTCCTGCCTCAGCCTCCCAAGTAGCTGGAATTACAGGTGTGTGCCACCATGCCCAGCTAATTTTTTTTCTTTTTTTTTCTTTTTGAGACGGAGTCTTGCTCTGTTGCCCAGGCTGGAGTGCAGTGGCACGATCTTGGCTCACTGCAAGCTCTGCCTCCCGGGTTCTCCTGCCTCAGCCTCCCGAGTAGCTGGGACCACAGGTGCCTGCCACCATGCCCAGCCAATTTTTTGTATTTTTAGTAGAGATAGGGTTTCACCATGTTAGCCAGGATGGTCTTGATCTCCTGACCTCGTGATCTGTCCGCCTCAGCCTCCCAAAGTGTACTTTTTATAATTTTAGTAGAGACAGGGTTTCACCATGTTGGCCAGGCTAGTCTCAAACTTCTGACCTCAAGTGATTCACCTGCCTAGGCCTCCCAAAGTGCTGAGATTACAGGCAACTGCACCAGGCCAGCTTCCTTACTTGTAACATTGGATAAAATGTCTTGACGTCTGTCTGGTAGAAATACTTCAGAAGCAATGATCTGGTTGGTGGCCAGGGGTGGGGACACAGATGAAGCATAACTGACCACACCTCATTAATCTTTGCGGAGCTGGGTGATGGGCACATGAGATCATTCTTTTTTTAATTGAGACAGGGTCTTACTCTGTCACCCAGGCTGGAATGCAGTGGTGGAGTCTTGGCTCACTGCGACCTCTGCCTCCTGGGCTCAAGCAATCCTCCTACTTCAGCCTCCTAAGTAGTTGGGACTACAGGCATGCGGCACCATGTCTGGCTAATTTTTGTATTTTTAGTAGAGACAGGGTTTCACCATGTTGCCCAGGCTGACATTTTTTTTTCTTTTCCTTATTTTTTTTTTGAGACAGGGTCTCGCTCTCTTGCCCAGGCTGCAGTGCAATGGTGCAATCACAGCTCACTGCAGCCTCAACTTCCCAGGCTCAAGCAATTCCCCCACCTCAGCCTCCCCAGTAGCTGGGACTACAGGCATGTACCACCATGCCCAGCTATTTTTTAATTTTTTGTGGAGATGGGCTCTCACTGTGTTGCTCTGGCTAGTCTCGAACTCCTAGGCTCAAGTGGTCCTCCCACCTTGACCTCCAAAGTGCTGGGATTACGGGTGTGAGCCACTGGTGTCTGGCTCTGTGTCTGACATTTTCCATGATAAAAAGTTAAAATAAAAATGAGACAGGCTATAAAAATGACATTTCACAGGTCACCAGTGAAAATGGCCTGCGGGTATTAAGGGCTTCACACAGAGCCTGTGGGAAGGCTCCCTTCCTTGCAAGGAGTAAGGTGTGGTTTCTCCCTTTTACAGGTCAGGAAACCACTGTTCCCCACAGACTTAGGTACTTGCCCAAGGTCATGTGATAGTTAGTGAGGGAGCCAGGCTTTCTTTATTTATTTACTTGAGAGACAGTGTCTTGCTCTGTCACTCAGGCTGGAGTGCAGTGGCACAATCACAGCCCACTGCAGCCTTGTACTCCTGGACTCAAGGGATCTTTCCACCCCAGCCTCCTGAGTAACCGGGACTACAGATGCACGCCACCACACCTGGCTAATTTTTTAAATTTTTCGTAGGGTTGGAGTATCCCTATGTTGCCCAGGCTGGTCTCAAACTCCTGGCCTCAAGTGATCCTCCTTCGTCAGCTACGAGAGCCACCTCACCTGGTCTGAGAGCCAGGCTTTAAATGTAGTTCCAGCTGCTCTGAAGCCCAGCTCTCACACTCCAGCTGTACTTCCTCTTAAGGGACATTGCCAGAGCAAATGTCAGTCTTATTCATGGGCAGACATCCCCTCCACATATGCTGCTGGGGTGTGCAGGAATACCATGGGGGACATCTAAGCATTGGCTCCTGGCAGCAGGAGGAATGAGGTCACTTGGGAGAGGGGGTAGCATCAGGGTGGACTCACCCCACACCACTGCTCGGGAGACCTGTATTTTCAGCAGTACCTCCCAGGGCCTCCTTTTGAAATGCTGGTTCTAAGCCAGGCACGGTGGCTCATGCCTGTAATCCCAGCACTTTGGGAGGCTGAGGCAGGCAGATCACTTGAGGTTAGGAGTTCGAGACCAGCCTGGCCAACATGGCGAAACCCCATCTCTACTAAAAATACAAAAATTATTTGGGCACGGTGGTGCGCACCTATAGTCCCGGCTACTTGGGAGCCTGAGGCAGGAGAATCGCTTGAACCCAGGAGGCAGAGGTTGCAGTAAGCTGAGATTGCACCACTGCACTCCAGCCTGGGCGATAGAGGAGACTGTCTCAAAAACAAAACAAAACAAAACAAAACAAAACAAAAAGAAATGCTGGTTCGGGAGGCGCACAGCCCTAGACTTTTGGGCTATATCCTTGTCAGTGACGGTTGACCAGCTTCTAGTTGTTACAAGGACACCTGGAAGACTGGAGACCCAGTTGAGCCAAGAGTGGGGCACATCAGGAAGACTAGGAGATGGAAGAGCACTGGTCCCCTGGGCTGCTGGCCCTCTTCTTGCTCTGGCGTCCAAACGCAGAGGTTGGGAATGGGGAGCAGTCAGGCAAGGAATGTGCAGCTGCTACCAGAAAGAAGCGTTGCTCCCTTTGCCATTTTGCCAAAATACAGCCATTCACTGTGATAGCTTAAGAGTGGGTCTTGGGACGGGTGCAGTGCCTCACATCTATAATCCCAGCACTTTGGGAGACAGAAGCAGGTAGATTGCTTGAGCCCAGAAGTTCAAGACAACCTGGGCAACACGGCAAAACTCCATCTCTACCAAAAAAGATACAAAAATTAACTGAGCATGGTGGCACATGCTGGTAGTCCCAGCTACTCAGGAGGCTTAAGTGAAAGTTAGGTTTGAGCCTAGGGAAGTGAAGGTTGCCATGAGTCAAGATCTTGCCACGGTGCTACAGCCTGGGCAACAGAGCCGGACCCTGTCTTAAAAAGAAAAAAAAAAAAAAAAAGAGTGGGTCTTCTCTATCTGAACAGGTTAAGTGTGTGTGTGCGAGAGAGAGGGTGGAGGAGGAGAGGAGGAATGGGAAGACGAGGAGTTATTCTCTCCTCTTGTTCTGTATAGAAAGCGTATCAGATGACATTCTCCCCAGGAACCTCAGCTGAACTCTGGGATGAAGCATTAAAAGGGCAGGGGCAGGTCTTCCCATAGACCCTCCCTGCCCCCAGCTAGGCCCCGAGGACCCAAGAATCAGCCAAAAGAATGTAAGGAGATCTCATCCTGTTTGCTATCCCCTTTGTAACTTGCTCCTGGGGAAAACAAGACACAATGCTAGCTCCTTCCCAGGCCCCTGAGGCGTGATCACTCCTGTTCCAGGGAGGGCTTAAGAAATCACAGTGGCCAAACAGCCCAGCCTCTCTCTCTCCCAGGCAGTAACCATGGCGGAGGCGGGGAGGGGAATGGGGCAGTAACCATCTGGAGGGGGAAAAAAAAAGAAATGTCAGAGGACATTTCTCAATCTGAGGGTGTGAGAAATACTTATGTACCTTAGAGTTTGGAAAGCCCTTTTTTCAGTTAATCCTTAAAACAACCTTGTGAGTTAGGCATTAGATAACCTTTTGTCAAACAGTTCTAGGTTGGTTTTGTTTCACCTAAATCCTTCAAACTTCAGTTTCATTTCCTCTGCAAAGTTAGAGGCCTGTCCTTGGTTAAATTCCACCACCGCTGTGGGCAGAAATAATCCTTTTTATGCCTAATTTTACTTGGGCCTGGTGTATCTGCCCTACACGAGCACAAAAACTCCCTGCCCTGCTGCAGGGCCCTCCTTGGCCTCCTTCCTCACTGCCTCTCTGTCTCCTGCCTTGCCGCCCCTCCAGTGATCTCAGCGTCTCATGGCAGCACTCATCAGCTCTGCCCTCTCTCCTCCCAGGTGCCCCAGGGCTGCTGCTCTCCTCTGGGATACACCCCAATAGGCACCCACCTCCCTTCCAACACCATCTCCTAGCCCATCTTACCCCACCAGGTGACAGCACATCTAGCTGCCTCCCTGAGCCAGCAGGACATTCCTCCAAAGGCTGACCAAAGGCTCAATGGAGCAAACAGATATAGAAGGTGCAGGGAGCCATGTGGGTTGTTTATGAGCAATCGGGGCCATTAGGAAAAGCTCCTTTGGCCTTTGGCCTATGGCCTACTTCAGATCCAGGATAGGCATTCTCCCAGTGTCTTCTGCATGGGGATGCTGGAGAACTGTTGGGCAAAATAGGCTTTGTAGATTGGCCCTGAAGCCTAGCCATGATACGACATTATTCCTGTAGGGGAAAAATGTGCCCTAAGTTCCCACATACGTTCATCACTGCACTGTTCACAATAGCAAAGACACGGAATCAACCCAAGTGCCCGTCAGTGGTAGACTGGATAAAGAAAATGTGGTATATATACACCATGGAATACAATGCAGCCATAAACAGGAATGAGGTCATGTCCTTTGCAGGGACATGAATGGAGCTGGAAGCCATTATCTTCAGCAAACTGACGTAGGAACAGAAAACCAAACACTGCATCTTCTCACTTACAAGTGGGAGCTGGACGATGAGAACACATGGACACAGGGAGGGGAACAACACTTAGCGGGGCCTGGCAGGGAAGGGCGGTGGTGGGAGAGTATTAGGGAAAAGAGCTAATGCATGCTGGGATTAATACCTAGGTGATGGGTTGTTAGGTGCAGCTGACCACCATGACACACGCTTACCTATATAAAAACCTTCACATCTTGCACATGTACCCTGGAACTTAAAAAACAAACAAATAATTTTTTAGAAAAAGAAACAATAGAGAATTTTTTTAAAATGTGCCCTAAGTTCCAAACAACTGGCTTACAAAAGAGCCCTTGTTGTGTGGCACCAGTGGCTTCTTCATTATCAATATCCCTAACTTGGGGGGGTGAGATCTTGAGACCCAACGGTTTCTAAAATGGGTAGGATTCAGAGCAACAGGTTACTGACCTATCTTCTCTTGAACCTCCTTTGCCCCAAAGGTGAAGGGTGGAGGCAAGACAGGGAACTGTTGGGCACTGATTATATTCCAGGTGTTAAATGCTTACCTTAAGTATTTCATTGATTCTCACAGCAGCCTGAAAGGTAAGTATTATTACCCCCATTTAGAGCAGAGGAAAATGAGTCTCAGAAATGAAGTAACTTGCTCAAGATTTATTAGCGAGTCACTGCCCCCTGCAGGTCTGCCCACCCCCAAAGCCATGCTTTTTCCTGCACATGCCTGGAGGGGGTGGGGTGGGCATGATGCTGGGCCCTGACCCTCCTAGGACCTCGTGTTTCAGGAGAGCCGGATCTACGCTGTGGCCACATCGGGCATGCGGCTCTCAGACGTGTCTCCCAGAAGTAATACTGCCTGCTGCGGTGAGTTCCACATGTGGGAACTTAGGGCACATTTTTCCCCTACAGTGAGTCCCCACGTGATGCTTGGAGGCACCAAACACCCAAGGTGGGCAGGGTGGGCAAGCGGGGAGGAGAAGACTCCAAGCAACACCCAGGGCCAATGTTGCCTGGCACCCTGTTCCCTCCCCAGCAGGTGAAGTTCAGGTGAAATCACAGCAAGGCCCACCTAGGAGGGAAAGGGAAGTCGTACAGGTTCAGCCCAGCACAGGGAAGTAGCCAGTCACAGAGCTGGAAGGGATCTGAGGGGGGCCTCCAGCCCAGCCTCCCACCTGCACAGGCTTCCCTTCTGCAGTGCCAGGGCCGTGGGTGGGAGGAGTCCCAAGTGTCCTGATTTACATGGACCCCACTCACTGGCTTCTCTCCAGCCAGCCACCAAATCTCCACAAGGGGGGGCTGTGGGGTGGTCCCATAGCCGCATGATTTGTAACTCACATCTGCAACAGTGGAACACTGTGCAAACGTCATGGAGGAGAAAATGGTTAAAGGGTAAGGCCTTTGGATTCTATTGTGAGGGATCCTTTACCACATGGAGATCATGGTCCCCAAAGTGAGTCAAGGGGAGAAGGTGAACAGAGCCCTGGCCCCCCTCTTGAGATCTGTCACCGGCTTGCTCCTGGAGGGAATGCCATCTGCCCAGTTCTCTGCTTCTCCCACACCTCTTCCTGGGTTATGCCCTTGAGTAATCTCATTCCTCTCTTCCCTGCTCAGCTTCAAGCCCTCCTGCCCTTGCTTCCCCTGGGTCTTTCTCTGGCCTGGTCTACAAGAATGTCACTGTGCCTGTCTACACAGCACTGAAGGGGGTAAGAAACTGCTGCACAAATAGGGGGTGTCTCATCAGCAAAGGCCCCTGGCCTCATCATCCAATGACCGGAGCGGGGCTCTAGGGCCAGGCTTCTTTATTTTATTTTATTTTATTTTATTTTTTATTATTATACTTTAAGTTCTAGGGTACATGTGCATAACATACAGGTTTGTTACATATGTATACTTGTGCCATGTTGGTGTGCTGCACCCATCAACTCGTCAGCACCCATCAACTCGTCATTTACATCAGGTATAACTCCCAATGCAATCCCTCCCCCCTCCCCGCTAGGGCCAGGCTTCTGCACATGGTTACCCTGGCCAGGGAGCTCAGCCCAGCATATGTCATTTTGTTTTATTGTTTATTAGGTTGTTATTATAAAAATTCCACATTTACAAAAATTTGAATCAGTATGAATGTGGACAAGGTAAGAAGGTTAAGCCTATGCCCGCTGTATGGGCCTCCCTGTCTTTTCTCATGTCTGCCCCACTCCCCAGGTCCCAGAGGGCAGCAGGGCTCCTTCTAGAATTATTTAGGTATATTCCAACTTATATTCCCGTAACGTCATTACATTTTAAAAACAAAAATCAGATATAATTGCAATATTTTCATACACATTTTTGTCTCTGTTATTGGTTTGTGAATCATAATAGTAATACTTGATAAAATTTTTTATAGAAGAATAAAAAACCAAAAGTGAAATTTCCCCTCACATGGCTTTTCCCTAATTCGTAAGCCCAGAGGAAGCTGTCGTGAATGGTTTAGTGTTTATTCAGTAAGGCCTTTTGATGCATTCTCACTGTCTCCTGTGTGCACACAAAAGGTGCTCATATACATGTCATTCTATGCCTTGCTTGTTCACCTAACCACATGAATAACCACGTCAGGTTATCCTTCCCTACCTCCTCTTTTTTTTTCCGAGACGGAGTCTGTCTCTGTCACCAGGCTGGAGTGCAGTGGTGCGACCTTGGCTCACTGCAACCTCCACCTCCCGGGTTCAAGCAATTCTCCTGCCTCAGCCTCCCAAGTAGCTGGAGCTACAGGCACGCACCACCACGCACAGCTAATTTTTGTATTGTTAGTAGAGACGGGTTTCACCGTGTTAGCCAGGATGGTCTTGATCTCTTGACATTGTGATCCACCTGCCTTGGCCTCCCAAAGTGCTGGGATTACAGGCATGAGCCACCGCGCCTTCTATAGGTGTCCAGTACCCTTGGTATCAAAGCACCATAACTATTAATACCTAAAGCTTTCCTCCAATGATAATTTAGGCTGTGTCCCTATTTTTCTCTAATATGAATGTTGCCATGAACATCGCTGTGCACATATGTCTTTGTGAACTTATATCTACATATTTCTGTAGGACAGAGTTCTAGAGGTGGGATTTCTGGGCAAATTATATGCATGTTTTAATTTTTGACAGGTACTGCCAAATTACCTTCTAAAAATGCCTTACACACTAGCGTTTCGTTTTCATCTTCTCCCCATACTCTCACCAACACTTAGTCACTTTAAATGTTTGCCAATGGAGATGCAATCATCGATTGTTGCGACCCTACACATTTTTAAAGCTTGCATGGCACACTTGGTCTGTGGTGTAGCTTTTGGGCCCCCTAGTGGCAAGGAGTGAGGATTACAGTGGGCAGGCGTTCAGTCGTGATGGGCAGCTGCTTTGGGGACCGCAGAAGATGGTGTGTGGGAAGGGAGGCCTGAGAAACATGGAGGTCATGACACAGGAGTGAGGCCAGGAGGGACCTTACACTGGACAGTTGTCTGTTCAGAGTCCTGGCTGGGGGTTGGCCACACCATGGACGCTTGGAGCAGGAGTGCAAGCTGCAGGGTGGGAGAGGACTGTTTTGCAGCCTGAGCTGCAGTGAGGGAGGGGCCTGTCTTGCAGAGAGCCACGCAGATCAGCAACATGCCCTTTATGGACGAGTCTTCTGGGTCTGACGACGACTGCAGCTCTCAGGCGAGTTTCCGAATCTCAGTGCCCTGCTCTGAGTCCAGGAAGACCAGTGGACTAGGCAGCCCCCGGGCCATCAAGAGAGGTACAGAGAAGGGGAGCAGGGGCAGGGTGCAGCAGCAAGGAGTCCCTCACCTCTTCCCATGGGCACTTGAACATGGGGATCTCCACTTGATCTGAGCTCATGACCCCCCCAGCAGCTCCACCTCCAGCCCCAGAAAGCGGGTCCCGGGTGGGTGGTCAAGGCTCAGCAGCTCCCGGGCTGCATGAGTCAGGGAGGTGTGGGACCCGGGCCTTGACTCCTCCTCCCTCGGCAAGGCGTCTCCATGTCCTCACTGAGCTCGGAGGGTGACTACGCCATCCCCCCAGACGCCTGCTCGCTGGACAGTGACTACTCAGAGCCTGAGCACAAACTGCAGCGCACCTCATCCTACTCCACCGACGGGCTGGGCCTGGGCGGGGTGAGCCGAGAAACGGGCGGGGGCAGGGTGGGAGCAGAATGTCAGCAGAGGCTGCTGGGACCCTCAGCACAAGACACAGGCAGTAGCCGCCTGACGTGAGGGGTCCCTAGAGCTGGGGGATGGGGGCAGGGGGCGTGGGCTGGGGGTGTACAGTTATGGAGTCAGACACAGACCCCACGAGGAAGGAAGGAGGGAGCCCAGAGAGCTCCTGGAATACCAGCAATGGCCAGTTACTGAGAGCCTGCTGTGGCCCACCAGGCCCCGTGAGGAGTTTTCCATATATGACTTTATTTTATCACCTGGAATGCTAACGCAAGCTAACATTTATTGAACTCTTAGAGGGCACCAGGCACTGTGCTCAGTTTCCAGGCATTGTCTCATTTGTCCTCACAATCCTCTTGGAGTCATTAGCCCATTTTATGGATGAGAAGCCTGAGGCTCCAAGCTGTGCCACTACATGCCAGGGCTAGCATCCATCCAGATGTAATTCCTCATCCCTTGCTCACACCTCTCTACTGCCCCATCATCTCCCTGGCTCCATGACCCTCCAGTCCCGCCTGGCTGGTGTGTCCATGGTCGCCCAGACCTGCCTTGCCCTCTCCCTGCTCTGTGCTGCCTGGAATGGTCTTCTTCCTTGTCTCAGTCTTTGAGCGAGTGGCTGACCTGTCCTAACAAGGCCAGCTCAGGGCCGGCTCTCTCCTGAGGCTCTCGCTGGCCAGCCTCTCCCTCTAGCAGCCCCTGCTCTGCTACCTTCTCATAGTGAGGCCTTCCCCAGCTAGCACGGAAGCCCTTCCTTGGCAGGACCACCCATGTTTTATTTAGTCCTCCCTGAACCATAGCAGGGTATGGTATTCTGAAAATACACTGAGTAGGTACTCAATAATTTTGTATTTCATTGATGACAGAGTAGTGAGGCAGCTGGACCACTCGGACCTGTGTGATGTCTGGGAGCCCTGAGTGATTTCCCCTTTCTTCATCTTCCCCCTACACCCTTCCACCCCTCAGGAGTCACTGGAGAAGTCGGGCTACCTGCTGAAAATGGGGAGCCGGGTGAAGACGTGGAAGAGGCGCTGGTTTGTCCTGAGACAGGGACAGATTATGTACTACAAGTCCCCGGTGAGAATCTCCCTGCCCAGCACTGCAGTCGAAAGGACTCCACGTCACACCCTGGACTATGTCAGATGGGATGGAGGAGGGGGAATGTGGCCCAAGGCCAGAGGGCAAAGGTCTGGCGGGTGGGGAGAGGCAACCTCACTGGACACCTGAAGCTTTGAGCCACACTTGGGGACCTAAGCCTGGCCATGAGTCCTCAGAATGAAATAGGGAGGTTCTCAGAAGGACCCATGTTCCTGATTGAGGTTCCATTTAGCTATAACCAGAATCTAGAGTAAGTCACCCATCATAACACAGCCGGAATGCTGGGAGTCGTGTTTCCCTTTGCTTCTGACCTGGAGGAAGAGCTAAGGGTAAATGAGGTGCTCCGGAAAGGCTCCACATTCAGTGGCTGTCCTCCCCAATACTTTCTGTACAGAGTGATGTCATCCGGAAACCTCAAGGCCAAGTGGATCTGAACTCCCGCTGCCAAATTGTTCGAGGGGAGGGTTCACAGACATTTCAGGTGAGCATGCTCCTAGCTGCTAGTATTTTAGACAGAGAGGTGCTGGGTTTGGATATGGCTATGAGTGAAACAAAGATGGGGCCAAATGAGCATGAATGAAAGACTTTAGATCAACATTTGGATGTGATCCTAACTTTGAGTACAAGAAAGGAAGATGAGATAGAATATGAGAGATGGAGTGAAGGAAAGAGAGACAGGGAGGAAAAGATGAGGAGGAAAAGAAAGGAGGGAGCACTAGGGCAGGCAGAAGGCCGGTCCCTTGGGTTCAGGGACAGGTGCCACCTCGGAGCCAGGTCCCGGTTACTCTATTCTCCCAGCGTGCTGCCCCGCCCCCACATCTTGCCCTCCACAGCTCATCTCTGAGAAGAAAACCTACTACCTGACGGCCGATTCACCCAGCCTGCTGGAGGAGTGGATCCGTGTACTCCAGAGCCTGCTGAAGGTGCAGGCCACCGGGCCTCCAGCTCTGCCTCGGGGGGGCACCAAGCCCACCGTGAAGGGCTGGCTGACCAAGGTACAGGGTGGGGCTGATAGGGCAGGAACGTGTGCCTCCTGCGAGTCAGGGGAGCGAGGAGTGGGGTGCCGAGGTTGGTGGGGTCCCCCTTATACGGGGTTCCTTTCTCTGGGAGCCTCCTCACAGTGACTCGCTGGCCAGCCCTCAAACGTGGTCTGGCCACACAACGTGATGGCGAGTGATTCCCTGGAAACAAATCAGGGTCGTCGGAACAACTATTCTCAAGACAGAGAAGGGAAGGAATTATCTTGTATCCATTTTGAGGTCATTAGGGGCTGTCACCCACCCACACCTTGTACCCACCTCAGTGTTAATAATGGGAGGAAGAGACCTGGGTGAGGTAGGTATGGCCCCTCAAAGACTTAAAGCTTAAAGTATCCCAGGCCTACCCGAAAGACATTTTTATTAGGGCTCTTCTGGTTGAAAAGAGCAGAGAAGCAGTTGTTAATCCCAAGAAAATGGAAGTTAACAAGGAAGTACATTAGCTAGACCAGACCACCAGCAGGAACCAAAGCGACTTGCACTCAGCAAGCTCAGGGCTGGCAGACTCGCTCTGTGCCTCTGCTTCTCGTTCAGTCTGTTTATGTCATTCTCCTCCACCCATGTGCAGCTTCTGTTCCCTCATGATGCATGGTTGCCCAAGGGCTTCAGCCTGCTGTTTTCCCTCCCTCCCTCCCGGCACCCTGACAACTGTGGCCTCTGCCACCTAGCAAGTTCTTCCCATTTTCATATGCCTGGAGGGGACATCTGATTAGCCTGGCTAATCATTTCATGGCAGGTCATAGGTCACTGAATAGCCCATGATGGCTGGGGTGCCACAGGGTGCCATGGCACCCTCGCTGTGAAAGGGGTGGTTCCATTAGTAGGGAGCCCAAATGGCATCTCCATCTCTACCATAGGTCAAATCTGTCTCTCTGTGGCTTCTCTTTGCCAGTCCTGGATTTGTTTCTGGAGTCACCTAGTTCTCTTTGCCAGTGCTGGATTTACTTCTAGAGTCACCTACTTCTCATAATGCCAGTTCATTTCTGTCTTACAGGTAAAGCATGGCCACTCCAAGCTGGTCTGGTGCGCTCTTGTTGGGAAAACCTTCTACTACTATCGGAGCCATGAGGACAAGGTACTTCCTCAGCCTCCTCACAATACCCACTCTCCTGCTTCCCCTGAAGCATATGACCGCCGCTGCATGTCCTGGTGAAAGTCCCTACCCCACGTAACCCCATGATAAATACAAAACCAGTTGGCTGGATCCCTCCAGAGTGTGAGATTCTGCCTGTCTGGGTTTCTGGTGCTTCTCCAAGCAAGCCTCATTCTGCTGCCAGCCTGGCTGGGATACTATAGTCTCCACCTCCCCATCCTGTTGTCTGTCCATATCCACCATTCCCAGCTCCACGGAGCCTATGTATTCAGAGAAAGGAGACTCCCTTGTCCTCCACTGGCTCTCCCATTCATGGAAGTCTCCTGTCCACAGCGACCCCTGGGCTGCCTGCCTGTGCGGGACGCGCGCGTAGAGGAAGTAGATCGATCCTGTGACTCAGACGAGGACTATGAGGCTGGAGGAACCAGACGGTTGCTTTCCTCCCACTGCACCCTGGTGATCCACCCCGCAGAGCACAGCCCCACCTACCTCCTCATTGGCACCAAGCATGAAAAGGTAAGGAAGAGGGCTGGGCCTCCGGGGCCAGGCTCGGACCTGTGATTCTGATCTTCTCTTCTCTTTCCCCTGAGCTTCTCAAAATTCAAGTTTATTTCCTTCTGGACATTTGGGCAACTAATATTCTCTGAATGGGAATACTCCTTTATACTGAATTTATTCCCAGTGACCAACATTGCTTCACTGAAGCCATGTGATAGAATCGCAAATTTGGAAACTTGGGTTCATGTTCACCTGATCCTCGTCTTTCCAGGTAGCCCTGACTCATGCCAACCAAACTAGCTGAACCCCACATGGGCGTGGCCCCTTTAAGGAGTCCTCCTTGGAGCTCTTGCCTCCACTCTTCCCACCCCATCCCCATCCGATGGCTTTCTGCCCTCTTCCAGGATACGTGGCTCTACCACCTCACAGTGGCTGCGGGTGGCAGCAGTGCCAAGGTGGGCACTGCCTATGAGCAGCTCATTGGAAAACTGATGGATGGTGAAGGAGACCCAGGTAAGGCAAGGGTGGCCACCACTGCTTGGGTCAGAGGGTAGTGGCTTGGTGACTATTGGTCCAGATTCCAAAGAAAGCAGTGTTGTACTCTGAAGCTGTTTTTAAAACATCTAAGCCACAGAGAGGAAGTTCCCATCCAAGCTCCAGGGCCCCTCTGTCTCCGGCTGAGACACTGAGGTGACCACTCTGCATCTGGGGGAGTTTATCTGGGAAGCAGGCTTTCCAGGGACCTGGGTAAATGTTTTACTTGGATCAACCTGCTGCGTTGCTGGCTGGGCAGAGGGTTGAGGAAACAAGGTAGCTGGTTAATCTATAGTTAAGAGTTTGTAAATCAATGAGTGAAGCCTAAATTGGGATCGGACTAACCTGTTTGGAGTCTTTGTTTTGCTACTGATTCTCAGGGCCCTGAGGAACTAATTAATGGCATATACCACATGCACCCCTTTACTACTGCTCTGAGGCTTGTTTCTGACCAATTCATGTGCTCCTCCATCCAGACCTGACACAGTAAGAAAGCGGCTCCCCTGCACACATCCACTTGCACTCAGACACCCATAACCTTGCACACTCACCCCTACTGCCATTCCATGAGAAAGGTCATGCTTATATGAGGGGGCTCATTGCAGTGCCCACCTGTACCCCCCACACTCCATGGATGATAAACCCAGCACAACCCAAGTGTCGCAGATCAACCACTCTCTTCCCCATAAATTAAAGATGGCAGTGAATGGGAGGTGAGTCCCCTCTCAGTAGTAACTGTCCCTGCTCTCTGGTTCTGTGCTTTGGGCAGATTCGCCGCTCTGGAGGCACCCCATGCTGTGCTACAGCAAAGACGGCCTATACGCCTCCCTCACCACCCTGCCCTCTGAGGCCTTGCAGACGGAGGCCCTCAAGCTCTTCAAGGTAAAGGGGGGTGGCGGCCAGGCCCACCGCTGGGATACTTGCAATACTTGGGTGGAGAAGACCTGTGCCGTTGGGGACAACCCACAGAGGGATCTGGAGAGGAAGGGAAGGAAACTTCCTGGGGTCCCTATCACTTCCTGGATGGCAGGAATGTAATCCTGTCACTGGGAGGGAAGCAGCTCTGGAACGTCATGCACAAGTCCTTGGGAAATGCCAATGAAAACTCTCTCTGGGGGAGCTCCCCTCCTCCTGTAGTTAAGCAGAAAAGGCCAGGTTTATGTTGCTTCTGGACCTGAGAGATTCGGACCTATTTTAGTATGTTCTTTGTGAACGTCTGAGTTTTCTGGTTTTTTTTTTTTTTTTTTTTTAATGCATTTGTCTTGTTTATGTAATGAGAACATTTTAAAAAGGAAAGCTTCTACCCCAAAGTAGCCCATAGCCCCTTTTAGTAAGCAGAGATGCCCACCAACAGTAGCAGTGCTCCCTCTTAGAAAGGGCTGTCAGTAAACTTAAACCTCCCTGGAGCCCTTGGGAAATGGCCAAGCCGCTGAGTTCTCTGAACCCAGGGGATGCTGGTCTGCTGTGCTCACTGCCGTTCCCTCCCAGTCCTGCCAGCTCTTCATCAACGTGCCGGTGGAAGCTGCCTCGGTGGACTACCACGTGTCCTTGGCCCAGACCGCACTGCAGGTCTGCCTGGTTCACCCCGAGCTGCAGAGTGAGATCTATTGCCAACTCATGAAGCAGACCAGCTGCCGCCCGCCTCAGAAGTACTCCCTCATGCAGGTAGGTATGCCAGGGGTACAGCAGCTGACAGAAGCCATTGGCAAGGGCTGGCAGGTGGGAAAGGTGGGAGGAGGTGACTGGACAGGCATACTGTGAGCCCAGCCAGCGGCCAGCCTCCGTGCTCCAAGCTGCATCAGTACAGCTGAGCTGTCTGTGCACAGACAGGTGATTGCATTCTGGACACAGCCTGACCAAGCTGGCTGTCCCAGCACCCACAGCAAGTTGGGGGCTCTGGTTTGGGGAAAGAGTGCTGAAGGCTTTGTAACTTAGGGCTATGAAGACAGGTAGTGCTGTAGGCCCAGCACTCACCCTACGCTGTGTGTGTCCCTGGCAGTGCTGGCAGCTCCTCGCTCTGTGTGCTCCACTTTTCCTGCCTCAGCATCACTTCCTCTGGTATGTCAAGCAGCAGCTCCAACGCCATGCAGATCCCAGGTGAGTGAACCTGGCCATTTCCTCTGCCACCTGAGCATTGCCAACTGCAGCATGAATAAGAGGGATGAGAGGAGTCTAGGACAGACCAGATCACTCCTGTCCTCCGAAACCGCTCAGTGGTGGTGGAGACTTCACCCATTGCCATGTGCACAAATGGGTATGTGGGGGTCTGGGCATGCTTAAGCTTCTCTGCATGCCAATCCATGCATCCCTGGAGGTACTGTGGCAACTCTTGCATAAAGCCACACTGCCCCCAAACTGTCCGCAAATGCTATTCTGTTGTTATGTTCTCTGGGTTCTGGAAGAAAATATCCATGCCAGCAACCTGGTATGTAAAGGTCCTGAATGACAAATTAATGCCCCAGACCAGAGTCTTCAGGGCTTTTCTCACAACCTGCCCCAGCTACAGTTTTGGTCTTGGCTGAATCCGGATAGGGACCTGGGGTGCCAAAGTGGCAGGGATGAGCAGAGTCCATAATACTCCCTTCTTCTGTCTTTTTAGAAGTGAAACTGGCCAGTATGCCACCTACTGCCAGCGGGCAGTGGAGCGGACCCTGCAGACTGGGGAGCGGGAAGCCAGGCCGTCACGCATGGAAGTGGTGTCCATCCTGCTGCGTAACCCCTTCCACCACTCCTTGCCCTTCAGCATCCCCGTGCACTTTACCAATGGGACTTATCAGGTGAGGAGCTGGGCGTGCTCCTTGCCCCGAGTCTTCTCACGTCATCCAGAGAATACCTCTGGGCCAGGTGGATGCTAAAGCTCCTTAGGCTTGGCAGATTCTTCACTGGCGCCCCAGAAGTAGATCTTATGAACTCATTGCATGAACAGGGAAGCTGAGATGCTGACTAAGAAAGTGGCATAAGAAAGGGCCTCCAAAAGATTGTTGGTAAAGGAGGGACCCAGGTATGCCCGGTAAAATTTACAGTGGATGGGCTCACATCCCTCATGCACTGGCCCTTTGCCTATGAACACAGAAACCAACTTGCTTTGGCCTCTTGTATTTGTCTTTGCTCCTTTCCACCTGCTGTACCCAGTCCCCTCCACCAGCCCTAGTGAGCTCCTCTTGGAAAGTTCACTCAGGGGTGGAACCCTTCTCCCATCTCAGGTGGTTGGTTTTGACGGCTCCTCCATGGTTGATGAGTTCCTCCAGCGGCTGAACCAGGAGATAGGCATGAGAAAGCCATCCCACTCTGGCTTTGCCCTCTTCACGGACGATCCCTCTGGCAGGGACCTGGAGCACTGCCTGCAGGGAAGAGTCAAGGTGACAGCCTCCCACTGAGCCAGCTGAGCCCCTCCCTGCTCAGGGATATTGGTGGTGGGGAAAGAGCCCATTTGATGGGTGCCTGACTGTTTGGTAGCTCATTTGGTGCTGAGCCCAAGGTGCTGCCCTAGTCAGCATTTCTGTGCCATCCTAAAATGTACCTGGGGAGGGAGAAAAAAGCTGTTGTGTGCCCCTGTCTCTGGAGACAAGATCGCTACACTCCTACTTCCCTCGAGTGGCTGTGCAGCGTCCAGAAGAAAAGCCTCTTCTTGGCTTGGTGTAGGGACAGCGAGGCCCCACGAAGCCACTGCCTACATGTGCCTACTCAGAGGCTCCCAGCTGTATGCCTGGACCCCCCGGATGTCATCTGGTACCCAGCACCTCACTTTTACGCTTTCTGCCAGGGTCTATGCCATGCTTATAGGTTGAACCACACTTTTAAAGAGGCAGGTCCTTATGGTGCCCCTATAAGTAAAGGCCGTTGAATGGAATTTAAGGTCAATCTTGTATTGTGGTCTGGGCTTACTGCCCTAGGGGATAAGTGTTTGTGAGAATGTGCTCTTGCACTTTGATGCATATTTGGCTCCAGTGTGTGCTTGTCTTTAACAGGACAAAGGCTTCTATGGTCTTTTAACATTGCCTGGAAAAACTATGCCACATACCTTCTTTGCCAATGTCTGGGTGTCTGTGAGGCTTTGTGACATGGTAGGCCTCTGGGCATATTTGTTGAAAAGGAGAATAGCAGTCAGTGGAATGGAAATAGAGCTGGTGATCAAAGGCCATGGGGCTGCCTAGCCTCTGGGGAGGCCCCTCAGCTGGTGAGGCCAGCAGGGCAGATTTCTTGCTTTATTGCTCACCCTGTCCAGGGTTTCCTCTGTTTGTGAGGGAGCCGGTGCCACCTTGGGTCCGGGAAGCATGAAGCTCCGCAGGTCAGCCTCCTGGTGGGAGGACCTTTCCTTTGTTTTCTTTGCTCTTCTGCTCTGAGTCCAGCCCTGGCTGGACCTTGATCCCTTCTCTCCTTATCAGGACATTTTCTGACTTTTTTCTTTTGCCTTTTCAAGATCTGCGATGCCATCTCCAAGTGGGAACAAGCCATGAAGGAGCTGCACCCCGGAAAGTCTGAGGGTGGGACACGCATCGTGAAGCTGATGTACAAGAACAGGTCCTCAGCACTGCACGAGGGTGGGGCTAAACACGAGGGCTGCCACTGGGTGCCAGCCCATCGCCTCCTTGACTAGACAGCCTATCCAGACGGGGGAGGGGTCCACAGATATAACGCTGCCTGGCAGTCACTAGCTGGGGTGCAGGCTGGCTCTGCTGCTGATACTCTGTGAAACCCTGGGCAGCTCAGGCCTTCTGTCAGCCTTCCCTGTACTGCTTGTGTGTGTGTGTATATGCACGCGCATGCACACACATACATTTGCCAAGAAAACAGACCAGACCAGCCTGGGCAACATGGCAAAACCCCGCCTCTATAAAAAATACAAAAATTAGCTGGGCATGGTGGCATGCACCTGTAGTCCCAGCTACTCAGGGGGACTGAGGTGGGAGGATCACTTAAGCCCGGGAGGTCGAGGCTGCAGTGAGCTGAGATCGCGCCACTGCACTCCAGCCTGGGCGACAGAGTGAGACCCTGCCTCAAAAAAAAGGAAAGAAAAGAAAATAGACCAACCTCATGGGATGGCTAAGTGTGTTACTTTATGAGAGTGAAATTTTGTATAAGCTCCAGCTAGTTAAAGCTAAAGAGTATGTACCTCCTATACCAATTCCAGGAAATACAGAAGTAGACATCCCGACTTTCTATCAATTTGGTTAAGAAAATCTCATCCCTCCATCTCAGTATGTCTCCAGGCAAATAGTTTCCAATAGTCTCTTGGACTCTTACCTCATCCAGTCCCTTAATCTGTAACTCCAGGTACCAGATTTCCCTTACTAAATCCAGTAAGTTTAATGGTGTCTTCAGAATGAACCATGTCCTCCTGTATCAGCATGACCTTCATCTGCTCTGTGCCATACTTGGTTATATGTTTCTGGAGGCAATACAAAATAGGCTCATAAATAGTGGGAAAAGAGTAGTTTCTCCTTTTGGAAATAAAGGTAACAGACCCAGAGAAAGCCTCATCCCTGTCTGGGATCCCTGCTGAGTCCTGGCTTCTTATTCTCTGCTCCGCAGGCTGTACTTTCGCAGTCAAGTCAAAGGGGAGACGGACCGAGAACGGCTGCTCCTTGCCTCTCAAACTAGTAGAGAGATAGTGGCAGGGAGGTTTCCTGTCAACAAGGAATTGGCTCTTGAGATGGCTGCCCTGATGGCCCAGGTAAGGTTTTGTTCAGGAAGCAGGAGGGTGGGGTTGCCAGCTTAGAATGAATGCACCATGCAGCCCAAAACACAGGAAAGATTCTGCAGATCCTGTGGTGCTCAGGAGAAGGCAGCTTTGCCATCTCTGGGATGGACAACAGCTGACTCCTACAGAGCAGAGCTCCGCACTCACCGCAGATACAGGATGCGTGCAGATGGCTGGACTTGGAATCCAGAGACTGGGTTTGAGTCTTTCCAACTGTGAGGTCTTAGCCAAGTCACTTCACTTCTCTATGCTTTAGTTTCCTTCTCAGTATACCAAAACCAAAAATATTTGGCCAGGTGCAGTGGCTCATGCCTGTAATCCCAGCACTTTGGGAGGCTGAGGTGGGCAGATCACCTGAGGTCAGGAGTCCGAGACCAGCCTGAGCAGTGAAACCCTGTCTCTACTGAAAAAAATAAAATAAAATACAATAAAAATTAAAATTAGCTGGGTGTGATGGTAGACGCTTGTAATCCCAGCTACTCAGCAGGCTGAGGCCAGAGAATCACTTCAGGAGGTGGAGGTTGCAGTGAGCCAAGATCGTGCCATTGCACTACAGCCTATGCAACAAGAGCAAAACTCGGTCTCAAAACAAAACAAAACAAAACAACAACAACAAAAACACCTCTGCCAGCCTCCACAGGGTTGTACTAAGTATGATACCTGGATAATGTGTATCATGTAATAGATGTGGTAAACTTTATAAACCATCAGACCTTCTAAGTAGAATTAGGAAGAGGAACACATATTCAGACTTGGACTGTCCTTCCTGTTATATTTAGAAGGCCATCTTGTCAAAGGTATCTGGGATACCTTCATGGCTCCCATAAGAGCCATGATAAAATCGTTGCTCTTGTCTAATTAGTATTCCAAAGGTTCAGGTGGTGTTGCATCTCAGTAGCAATGTTCAGCTAGCAGGTAAAGGGGCATATAAGAGAGTCTGACACCTACTATATACCCACAAAAATTAAAAGTTAAAAATATTGTAAAAAAGAATAAGAATCTGGATTTACATGCTGGAAAGGAAGAGGAAACAATAATAGTTGATGTTTATAATTAAAAAGATAAGAATACCCTCTAGGAGGCCCTGAAATAAGCATATATGCATCCTCCATTGTAGTTTTTATTCGCACCTAATAGATGAGGAAATTGAAGCTCAGAGAGTTTAAGTAACTTGATCAGGGACACAAAGCTGGGATTTGTGCCAGGTATCCAACTCCAAAGGCCACACTTGGAACACTTTGCTGTACTCTAGGATCTGTAGCATCTTCAATTCTATAGCCCATATTTTTGGACTGGAAGCCAGAATTTCCACACTGTTTTCCCTTGTGTGCTACCAATTAACTGTGTCTTTGGAAAAGGCACTTTACCTCAGCTGCAAAATCAAAGTTGGTCAGTGATCTCTAATATTCTAGGGCCCTAAGTTTGTTTCTCCAGTGTCTGTAAAACTTGAGATGAAGTGTTTTTCTAAAGTATTTTTCACATCCACTAGCACCCCACCAAGAGGGTAATAAAGTAATGGTTTATTTCACCTCTCAACAGCCCCCACCTGGCCCATCCACCGTCAGATTTTGACTGGTCTCTTCATGTGCTTCTATCACAGGTAGAATATGGGGACTTGGAGAAGCCTGCCCTGCCAGGCCCTGGAGGCACATCCCCTGCCAAGGCTCAGCATCTTCTCCAGCAGGTCCTAGACAGGTTCTACCCCAGGCGCTACAGACATGGGGCTCCCCCCGAACAGCTGAGGTAGGTAGGCTTGCAGCCACTGTGGGGAGGCCTCAGGGCTGGAATGCAGACATGTTGGCACTTCACTGGCACTATTTCTCTCCATCTGCCCACACCAGGCACCTGGCAGATATGTTGACCACAAAGTGGGCAACATTGCAAGGCTGCGCCCCTCCTGAGTGCATCCGCATCTACCTGACCGTGGCCAGGAAATGGCCTTTCTTTGGTGCTAAGCTTTTTGCTGCTCAGGTAAGTGCCCGTGGAAGGAGCTGCCCACACCCTTAGGTGTGTCCCCATCTGCTCATGTTTGAGCCATATCAGTTTGCAGCCCCCGCCTCTATACCAGTAACCACCAGGGGTCACTATCCCTCCACCATTTCTGGCCTACTGGATTTCCAGTCCAGAGCAGAATTGTGATTGCTTATCTTCATCTGTCCTTTGTTGACTGCCCCAAAAGAAAAGATGTGATCAACTAATTCACACACACAGATTCAGACTTGATATAACAGCCCTCTCAAGAGTGCTTTCATTTGTTTTAAAGTTTGAAAGAACAATGTATAACCTAAAGAAATACATCTCCACTGGTTTGACATGGCATACAGGGGAATCAAATTACTTAGGCAGCCGTTAATTTCACCTCTGTATGAAGGCCAGGTGGCCAACAGTAATTTCAAAAGGAACTTTTCTTCACTGGGTGTCTGTTGTGCATAAACATTGTAGATAATTACAGCTCAAGGCTGGGCAGTAATCCTGTTTACTGAAGCCACAGATCGGAAAATGGCCATCGATTCATTCAACAAATAGTTGAGCTCCTACTATGTCCAGTGCTGGTTGTTTGAGGTTATAAGAGGTGAGAAAATCAGACACGGTCCTTGCCTTCCTGGAGTTTCCCATCTAGTGCAGGAGATGTATATTCATCAAATAATCGTATCCATTTTTTTCTCTATATATTTAATATATATTTATAAGCCATCGCAAGTGCTATGAAGGAGATGTACAGAGGTGTTATAAAGGCATGAAACGGGGACCCACTTGATCTGGGAGCTTGGGAAAACCTTCTGAAAAAGGCGACATGTCCAATGTCTATCTGCCTCCCTTTGTTTATTAAGAGAGAGGTTTTCTGGATTACCATACCGTACTCCTGGCAGTGAAAATCAGTCATTACAGGAATGTCCACTAAATAGTCACTTCCTTACTGATAGGGCCTAAAGCCACAGGACTACATTCTTGCTTTCCTATTTCCTTTACAGCACCTAGGAGATTGGCTGAAGTCAGAAGCACTTCAGCTTGGAGACTATAGGTGGAATGCCGTGTTTCCAAGACTAGGAGAAAACCACCTGTTCCCCATTCCCCTAATGGAGTGGCCAGGGCTAGCCTCTATTCTGTAGCACAGAGCTTTCCATCCAGTGTGCTGTGACAGCATGGGTGCTAGGGACACCAAAAGAATGATCGCCTCTGCTGTTGAGATGGTTAGTAGGTGACCAGAGCCCCAAGGCCAAGGGTCTCCTGTCACAAGCAGCCTTGTCTATTTTCTGCATACGCTGTACAAATACCGTCTGTTTTCCAAGATGAGGTGGCTGGAAATTACTGCTTAGCAGATCCCTGGATGTGCCTTCTTTCTCAGAAAGTTCTTACAGTTCAAAATCTGTAACTATGGATCTATCTGATGGGTTGTTTCTGTTTCCCCAGCCTGCCCAGCTGTCTTCCGAGGAGAATGCTCTGGTGTGGATTGCTGTGAATGAGGATGGTGTCAGCATCCTGGACCACAACACTATGGTATGAAAGGATGCAGGCTGCTCCTTGACCCCTCTTCTTCCTCAACATGGTCTTTCTTCTCCTCTGTGGACTCAAAAGCCTGAACCAAGTGACCATGGCTGCTCTACCCCCACTCCTGCCCAGGCACCACTGTCATCTAGTCTAGACAGTGCTTGTAGACATTCAAGATGGAGATCTCCAAATTATGACCACTTGGGAGTTCTCCTTTCCTGTGCCTAGAAGAGACAGGGGATGCTGGTTCCTAGCTCAGGGGACAGGTGGAAAGTTTCCCCAGAATTGACTGGTTCCTTTCCACAGCAAGTGCACGTCACTTACCCCTACTCTTCAGTGACAACCTTTGGTGGCTGCAGGGATGACTTCATGCTTGTGATTAGATCTATCCCAGACAAGACCTCTGGAAAAAGCCACATTGAGAAGTTGATCTTCCGGATGGCTGCTCCCAAGGTAGGTCTGACAGCTGCTAAAACGTTCTACTCTGGCCAGATGTGGTGGGCTTGGAGCTTACAAAGGAAACTGGGGTTATGCTAGTGCTCTACAAGGGCCCTGCCCAGATAAAATTGTTGGTCTTGTCTGTAATTAGTATTCCGAAGGTTCAGGTGGTATAGCATCTCAGTAGCAATGTTCAGCTAGTAGGTAAAGGGGCATATTCGGAGGGAACTAACTCTGGCCTAGCTACTATTATGCTCTTCACTTATTCTTTTTTATTCTCTCAAGCCCCAGCATCACGCAGTCCTCAGTTGGGTGTTTACGTGCTCTTCTCTTCCTTGCAGCAGGCCTCGAGGCAGGGCAGATTCCTCTTTAAGGTGCTCTCATGTTACCCCTAGGTTCTGCTGACCCAACACTAGCTGAAAAGTGGGACAGTCCCACAGTGCTCCCTCTTCCTTGTTGTGGGGAAGATGGCAAAAAGACCGCTTTTGCTTTAATGACTTTGCTCCTACTCAATACAGGAAGTGTTGACCAGCGAAAATAACAATTACAAAGGCTCAGGAACCTAAGTTCTGATTTATTGTTCCTGACTCCCCTGTGATTACCTGGAAACCCTGTTGTTCTCCACTTTTTAATCCTAAAGTTAGAGTTTGCCAAACCTACTCCTCCTTTAATACCACCCCTGCCAAAGGGGAGGATCTCCAGATCCCTTTCTTAAGAAGGCCCCTTCCCTGGTTGTAGAGCTAACCAGGGCAGAACACTGGGCCTCCTTTTCTCAGAAAGGCACTGTGCATCTCAGAGGATCGCCAGACCAACAGGGGCCCACACCACTGGGCCTCTGAACCGCACAGTAATGGTTCCCTTTGGATATTTTCTCCCAGGTGGGTATTTTAAGAGATTAAATAAATTGAGGCCCGAGAACTCAGTATAAGAGCTAATAAGTGAGAAAAACAGGATTCAAGCCAAGGCTAGTTCAATTCCTTCACGTCTCTGACCTCCTCTTAGATTGCAGAAGCTACCTTCATCATGGCCAGCTATATGAACCATTGCTCTACAACTGTGAACCCACCCACCAACCTACCCGGAGCCTGCCAGCTGTGGGAACTGGATGGACAACAGTTCTTTTCTTCTGTTTCCTGTGCTACCAAGGGGCCAACGTTGCTGTGAATATTTCTCCTACCCGATTCCCCACTACCACTAGTGCCTCTGGATTTAGAGATATATATCCTAGGGTATGATACTACTGTGATGGGTCTAACAGCCCCCCACCACTGTTGTTCTGTGAAATGTGTATTTTAGTGTCTGTGAAGCCTTTATTCTCTAGGTGCCTTACAAGGTTTCAGGGCTCAACTTTTAAAAATCTAGACCCAGTGTTAAAACCACTTATTCCTTTTTTCGTAAGAAGAATGACTCTGGATGCTACCCGATTCTAGACATAGACAGGGATGATACACTGTTACTGAGGGCATCAGTGCTGTAAGTTAAGGCTTTCTGCACTGATACTCTCAAGGAAGCTAATTTTCTTTTTGGTGGGGTGGGGGACACAGTCTCACTACATTGCCCAGGCTGGAGTGCAAAGGCGTGATTTCGGCTCACTGCAACCTCTGCCTCCTGGGTTCAAGCAATTGTCCTGCCTCAGCCTCCTGAGTAGCTGGGATTACAGGTGTGTGCCACCATGCCCGGCTAATTTTTGTATTTTTAGTAGAGACGGGGTTTTACCATGTTGGCCAGGCTGGTCTCAAACTCCTGACCTCAGCTGATCCACCCACCTTGGCCTCTCAAAGTGCTAGGATTACAGACATGAGCCAACGTGCCCAGCCTGGAAGCTAATTTTTTAATATTGTATATGGTCTTATTTATACTTGAAGTTTTCTGAACGTCGCTAAACAGGATAGGACTAAAATTTCCAATTCTCCTACACTGTCAGAAGCCTAGAACTCACTAAACTGCGCTGCCTTGCCCAAATGGGAAAGGTGCTGGCAGAGCTGGAGAAAAAAGAATAGACTCACTTTTCCCCATTATTGGTATGTAGGCATTGGTACAGCCCCTTCTGTGGCAGTCTTTGCAGGATAACATGCTATCCCTGCTAAGATTCAAGCTGTTTCCCTCACACTGGACTGTAGGCCAAACCCAGTACCACACAATGTACAAGCAAGGGCAGGGGATAGGTCCAATCTGACCCCTCCCTGTCTCATTTTAACGACTGGACAGGGCTCGGTGAAGGCTGTGTTCACTATAGTGGGCCATCATTTGTTTCCTTGTTCTTGTAAAAGACCAAGCAAATGCACTCTGCTTTTTGCTGCTGTAAGACTACCAAAAATGAGTCAGAAACACAGAAGACTATTTCAGGCATGTGGGCCTGGATATGCTCCTTAAGACTTCTGGCAAACTTCTGCTGGGAATTAGTTTGAGGGTGAGGATACGTATGTGACACTTGCCCTAGCCTACGAGTAGCAGGTAAAAGAAAGTTTCTTTCCTCCTTTGCCTTACTGATAATACCATAATCCCCCTCAATTCAGACCTTCTGACTGAGTGCAGAGGAGACTAGACAGTCTCCTCTAGACAGGGTGTAGACACACCCTCCCTTAACAAAAACAAAATGAAAGAGTTCATACACTGATTTTCCAACATCTAAGAAACTGAGTTTTATTTCCTAGCTCTAAGGCAGCCTTACTATCTGTCAATAAAGTACTGAAAACTGTATATTTAGCAGTAGCACCCAAAACCAAGCCCTTAATCCCAACAATGTGTGTATATTGTGCACAGCAAAAACTGCGAGGCTGGAACTAGTTTATCTGAACACCTCAGCTGCTGTAAGCTTCTCCTCTCTCACCCTGTAAACTGACAAGCATGAGGAAAAAAGGAGCACATCCAAGTCTCTGCCTCTTTTACATGTACTTGACTGTGCAAGGCAAGTAGTTTTACAGCCATTTCTGTTCACACCTTTCACCCCAGGATTTGGGGATCTAGCTGAGACATTTCTACCTCGAACAGGTCACATGTACCACAGGTTCCTGAATAATTCCTGCAGGGCTGGTGACAGACATAACAGCTCTGGTTTTATAATATCTTGGGTGTCTCTAAGGCCAATAAGAATAACATTATCTACCCAGAGAGTTTAAAAGAAAATTAGGAGTCCGAAGGAAGGGTAAACAAGAATGGAGCTGTGTTCACACTGAATTTGGGATCAATCTATTTCCCCCACCCTCTCTCCTCCCCAACCCTTCAGGAATTCTCCTTTAGTTTATTAATTTTATACAGAAGAAACTGCCTTAGAAACAAAGGATTCAATAATTTGCTTATTTATTCTTTGTTAACATGAGAGTCCCGTGTCTGAAAACCAAAGTCAAATTTCTGTGTGGCCTTTTGTCTCATCCCTCTTGGCAAAAGTAGCTTTTGAACTGATTTTAAAAAATTGCTGAGTAACAGAAAAGTATTAATGTGCTTGACACCATGACTGAAATACCATGATCTTGTTTGTCAATAAAAAGCAGCTATCTGTGAATCAGGTAACTGTGTGTTTTGGAAGATCTGTTTATTAAGAGTAAATAAGCCCTGTACAGAACACAGGCGCTAGGTTGACAGACTCACCTTTTGTAGGACATTTCTTCCTGCTAACCAGTACGTGGAGGGCTTGGTTTTTTTTTGTAACTTTACACAAGGGGTAATATTGGAAAATACACCTTGCTCAAGACATCTGACGTCAGTTTCCCAAGGTTTTGCTTCACAAACATCAACAAAGTAAACCTGAACATGGTTAGCAATTTCACAAAGTGTTCTTTGCTGACATTACTTTTGATATACTGTGTCAAAATTCTTAAGGTCTCCCCTCCTTTGGTAAAGTAGGCAAAACTTTACAAGGAAAACACTACAGTACATGGAAATACACTTAGATTTTCAGTCACCTGCTCTATGGCTCTGAGATGCACTACACCGATAATGGTTCCTAGGACTGTGTCCACCTGATGGTTTAGAGTACAGAAAACCAGCCCCTATGGTTTAAGAGTCATCTCCCATGGAAGACAATGCTGGCCTTCTGAACGCTGGGGCTCATGGGCTTGTTGATGTGGCTTTCTGGTGTGCCAGGATCTCCTGGCAGCTCCTGTATACTTCAATCAAGCAGTCCAGCCGGGGCTTAGCACTCTGAATTCCAAAGGGGAGAAATGCAGAGTCAAAGTGAACATAAGGGAGTACAGTGGAGATGCATCAACTTGCAACTTTTTTTTGAGACAGAGTTTTGCTCTGTTGCCCAGGCTGGAGTGCAGTGGTACAATCTCGGCGCACTGCAACCTCTGCCTCCCAGGTTCAAGCAGTTCTCCTGCTTCTGCCTCCCGAGTAGCTGGGATTACAGGTGCTCGCCACCACACCCAGTGGCACAATCTCGGCTCACTGCAACCTCTGCATCCTAGGTTCAAATGATTCTTGTGTCTCAGCCTCCCGAGTAGCTGTGACTACAGGCACGAACCACCAAACCCAGCTAATTTTTGTATTTTTAGTAGAGACAGGGTTTCACCATGTTGGCCAGGCTGCTCTTAAACTCCTGGCCTTAAGTGATCCGCCCACCTCGGCCTCCCAAAGTGCTGGGATTACAGGCTTGAGCCACGGTACTGGGCCCACATGCAACTTCAATCTGTCACCCACATCAAGGGGTATAAATGGCACAGCAGTGAGCTCAGGGAGTTAAGTTTAGGCCTCAGCACACCTTGCTGGGAAGAGTCCCAGCTAGGCTCACAGCCCAGCTTGTGAATTGTGTGAAGTGGGAGATCAAATGATAGCTTTTTCATCTGTCTAAGTTTCATGAACTCCATCTCTAAGAGTAAGCAAAGAGGAAAAACAAAATGGACCCTTGAGAAATGTCACACGTTATAAAATAGCCCTCAAAGACAAGAAGGGCAGTTTAATATGTAAATATTGAAAAATGTTTTGTACAATGAAATGTAATAACCAAAATTAAAAGAAAAACCACAGAATGGGAAAAATATATGTGAAAGTATATTTAATAAAAGTATACTACCTAAAATATATAAAGATTGTTAAAAATATATAAAAACAGGTACAAATACATAATATTCAGATTCTTCTTGACTAATAGAGAAGATAGGTAGTTTAAAATAAGAGGAAATACTGATAGGTAATACAAGGAAATATGAAAAGCCTATCATTTAAAGAGATACAAATTTACCTATTTAAAATGCCTTTACCTACATATTAAGTTAAAAAGGCTAAATCCACTATTAGCCAGGATGGTAGAAAAAGAAGTACAAAAGCCCCAAAGTATGGTAATGTTGTCCAATCTCTGGAGCCCCATCTTAAACACTAGAAATCTATAAAACTATTCATAAGCTTTAATAAAATAATTTTTAATTATAATGCAAAATAATATTTAACTTAGCTATCTTAAATCCTTTGTGAAAAAGGTCAGTGAGGCAGGGTTAACTATATACATAAATACGTGCATAAATACCTACCTCTAAAATAATTTACTTCGTAATTTATTATGTTTGTATAATTTATTATGTTTGTATAATTTTTGTTTTGTTTTTTGAGATGGATCTCCGTCACCCAGGCTGAGTACAGTGGCATGATCACAGTTCACTGCAGCCTTGACCTCCTGGGCTCAAGCAATCCTCCCACCTCAGCTTCCTGAGTAGCTGGGACCACAGATGTGTGCCACCACGCTCAGCTAATTTTGGTATTTTTTGTAGAGATGGGGGTTTTACCATGTTGCCCAGGCTGGTCTCGAACTCCTGAGCTCAAGCGATCTGCCTGCCTCAGCCTCCCAAAGTGTTGGGATTACAGGCGTGAGCCACTGCACCAGCTGATAAGTGTTTTTTTTTTTTGTAAGAGCAAAACAGAAAACTCCAGGGAGGATTTTAAAAGGTGGCAAGAGTGGCTACATAAACTGACATTTCAATATATTATACAATATAGTTATTTAAAATAATAAATATAATGGCCTTTGTAGGACACATACATATTATTTACAAAGCAAGACACACAATAGCGTACAATGTGAGATCAATGACCTCTATCTAAAAAACTGTACATTAGTAGACTGACAGAGTCAAAGTAGATGAATAGTGATTTGTAGGCAGAGGTTGCTATATATTTGATTGTGCTCTTTAAAATGTGCATGAGGCCAGGTGTGCTGGCTCATGCTTGTAATCCCTACACCTTGGGAGGCTGAGGCAGGAGAATTGCTTGAACTCAGGAGTTCAAGATCAGCCTAGGCAATATGGCAAGACCTCATCTCTACTAAAAAGAAAAAAAAAGTTAGCCAGGTGTGGTGGTACACACCTGTAGTCCCAAGTACTCAGGAGACTGAGGCAGGAGGATTTCTTGAGCCTAGGAGGCGGGGGCTGCAATGAGTGACGATCACACCACTGCACTCCAGCCTAGGTGACAAAGTGAGACTCTGTCTCATAAAATAAAATAAAATAAAATAAAATAAAATAATAAAATATGCATGAATAATATTTTTAAGGACTATATTTGCCTCAAGAGAGGAACTTCTCAAATAACTGAAATCCTAATTATCACTCAAAACAGCTGTCAGGTGTCTTCCAATACTCTGAAAAAAGGAATTTACATTCCCACTGAAAAGGTTGAGGATTAATTGGAGAACGGTAAAAGTGTTCTATGCTCACCTGGAAGACAGGTACTACTTGGGATATCCTATGTGGTTCCACTGGATCCTTCAATAAGATGCAGAGGTAGTAAATCACCTTCTGCTGTAAGAAAATAAATCAAATAGCAAAGTCTAAGTGAAACTCATTTTGCATTCCTTTTTTCTTTTTCTTTTTCTTTTTTTGAGACAGAGTCTCACTCTGTTGCCCAAGCTGGAGTACAGTGGCGCAATCTTGGCTCACTGCAACCTCCACCTCCCGGGTTCAAGCAATTCTCCTGCCTCAGCCTCCAAAGTAGCTGGGATTACAGGTGCTTGCCACCATGCCTGGGTAATTTTTTGTATTTTCAGTAGAGATGGGGTTTCACCATGTTGGCCAGGCTGGTCTGGAACTCCCGACCTCAGGTGATCCGCCCGCCTTGGCCTCCCAAAGTGCTGGGATTACAGGCGTGAGCCACTGAGCCTGGCCACATTCTTTTTTTCTAAGGGAAGGCTCAACGCTTTTTCACAAATGGTTAAGTAGTAGAACACTTGATAGCTTTTGAAGTGGGAGAAAAGTATATTCTTGTTCTTTAAATGAAAAAAGACAGGGCCAGGCATAGTGGCTCAAACCTGTAAACTGAACACTTGGGGAGGCCACAGCAGGAGGAGGGCTTGAGCCCAGGAATTCGAGACCAGCCTAGGCAACATAGTGAGACTCCATCTCTACAAAAAATAGAAAAAACGAGCTAAGCATGGTGGTGCGTGCCTGTAGTCCCAGCTACTCAGGAGGCTGAGGTGAGAGGATGGCTTGAGCCTGGGAAGTTGAGGCTGCAGTGAGCTGTGATTAAGCCACTACACTCCAGCCTGGGTAACAGACAGGGTCTCACAAAAAAAGAAAAAACAAAGAAAGAGAAGGAAAAAATGCCAGTGATAATTTTGGAGTTGGTCTTGAAGATAAAGTTGAAATGCTAATTCTCTATCCATGAAAACCTGCTGCATCTCTTTAAAAATAAGGAGATTTACCTTTTACATATAAGTCTCACTTTTATGGTTTATAGACATGGCAGCCAAAAAGAAAACTCTAGTACTATAAGTACTAGAGCAGAGGATCTTCATGTTTAATTCTGTGACATCAAGTACTTTAGGTATTAAGGCTCGGTATAGATCTGGGAACACCCCATGGGCTGCCTACCTCCTCCAGAGAGGACTGTAATACTGCCTTTTAAATACTTACCATGTAAATAGCCTCATTGATGACAATATCCTTGACCTTGCCCATTTCTATGAAGGTAGTGCTTTCTTTGCCTGAAGCATAAGATGAAGTCATCTGAATGCCAAGGGAATCAATGATTAACAGAGTCTCCTGATCAATCTTCACAAAATGGAGATAACCAAGCAGACCTAAGAGGGTGATGAAGATGGCAGCAGAGAGGATCATGCTGTTCTGAAGAGAAAGCCAGACACAGGCAGTAAGATTACCAAGTGGTACCAGTCAACTCCAGGCAAAGAGGAAAAAAGCCTTTCTTCTCTTGTCAGATGAGGGGAACATGCATGGAGGAAAAGGAAATTGCTTTTATTTGGGTTCTGAGGTGCTATAAAAGTATACAGTGAAACAGATCCAGACAACAAATGGATAGGTCTGGGGAAAACCTCCATCAGCAAAATGTCCACCATCATCACAGCAATCTCAGAAACTATTTTTTCCAAAATTCCAAATTAAGGGCCCAAATCAACTGAATGCAGTAGCTTGCACCTGTAATTCCAGCTACTAGGGAGACTGAGGCAGGAGGATCACTTGAGCCCAGGAATTCGAGGGTGCAGTGAGCTATGATCATACAACTGCACTCTAGCTTGGGTACCAAAATATGACACTGTATCTTTAAAAAAAGAAAGGACCCAGCCAGGCGTAGTGCCTCAAGCCTGTAATCCTAGCACTTCTGGAGGCCAAGGCAGGCGGATCACAAGGTCAAGAGATTGAGACCATCCTGGCCAACATGGTGAAACCCCGTCTCTACTAAAAATACAAAAATTAGCTGGGCGTGTGGCATGCGCCTCTAGTCCCAGCTACTCCAGAGGCTGAGGCAGGAGGATTACTCGAACCAGGGAGGTGGAGGTTGCAGTGAGCCGAGATCGCACCATTGCACTCCAGCCTGGGTGACAGAGTGAGACGTCTCCAAAAAAAAAAAAAAAAAAGGACCCCAGATCTTTTCCTTTCACACTCCCTCAGCAGAATACAGGAGGGAGCTATGTCCTGATAAACCCATGCAAATGCATTTAATATTGAGTTCTAGCACTCAAATGAAAAACTAAAATTAAAAAGTATACTTAATACACCTATCAAGCATCAGAGCTTAGCCTAGCCTACCTTAAACGTGCTCAGAACACTTACATTAGCCTACAGTTGGGCAAATCATGTAACACAAAACCTGATTTTATAGTAACGTGTGGAAAATCTCACGTAATTTATTCAATGCTATACTTTAAAGTGAAAAACAATGTTTGTATGGGTACTTGCAGTATCGTGTGTATTGTTTCTGCATCATCCTAAAGTCAAAAAATCCTAAGTCAAACCATCATAAGTTGGGAACCATCTGTGTATATAGTGCAAAACCATAGACTGAACAATTATAAAGTGCTTAGTACAGTATAGCAGATACTATGGCTTGCCTAATAAATGGCCACCCACCAGCCCCAGTTGAACTGTGAGTGAATCATGATTGGTTCCCACCCCTTCTGCCAATGGCTGGTTTAAAAATGGGCATGTGACACAACTCTGACCAATGAGATGTGAGGGGAGATCTGCTGGAGGGGCTTCCGGAAAACATGAATTCATCTTTAAAAATCTACAGAAGAAACGTTCCCTTCATCATGAGGTTTAGATACCTGGAACTACTATGGCCTCTGCCAGACCTAGTGGAGAGCTAGTAGAGGACAACTAGAGGACGCTAAGGGTGGAAATGCAGTTTCTGCACTTGGAGGACCAGGTGGAGGACAAGTAGGGCACACTAAGGTTGTCAGCAGTAAGATGACAAGAGCTGGAATCAAATGAGTTTCTATGTGAACTCTGGAGCCCTCCTACCTTATGACTTCTTGTTTACAGAAAAGGTCCTGATCTCTTAAGGCTATTTTAGTTGTTCTGTGTTACTTACAGTTGACTAAGTGATGTGTTAAGGACTCAAAAAATGGTATATATTATTTATTCCCTTGATTCTAAGACAAATGTACAATCTTTAACATTTCTGAAGTTAAAATGTGTTGTCCTATTGGTGTGTGTTTCTTTCATGTGGCATTGTTTTATCTTTTTTCCCAGAAGCTTGCATTCATTCATTCATTCATTCATTCATTCATTCATTCATTCGAGACAGAGTTTTGCTCATGTTTCCCTGACTGGAGTGCAGTGGTGTGATCTTGGCTCATTGCAACCTCCACCTCTTGGGTTTAAGCGATTCTCCAGCCTCAGCCCCCCTAGTAACTGGGATTACAGGCACCCGCCACCACGCCCAGCTAATTTTTTTTTGTATTTTTAGTAGAGACGGGGTTTCACTATGTTGGCCCGGCTAGTCTCGAACTCCTGACCTCAGGTGATCCACCCGCCTCAACCTCCCAAAGTGCTGGGATTACAGGCGTGAGCCATTGCACCCGGCAAAGCTGTGACTTAGAAGGCTGGCACAGGGAAAAAAATATTGATGACCTAGAATCAAAGAAATTTTGTAATTTTGGACTGCATTCCTTGAGGGCAGGAAGTGTCTTATTATTCTTTGCACTGACAAGACACTCTCCTTTATCTACCTCTAGTCAGGTTCCTCTAAGCTCTCTAGGCCCTGACCTTGACATCTCTGTTGGGCCTGCACTACCCACCCAGTTGTAGCAAGAATCTTGCTGAATCAGTTTAGAAAGAATTCCCACCCTTGATATTTGATCAGCCTGGCCTGCCTTCAGCAAGAATCCTGTCAAGTCAGTTTAGCCAGAATCCCACCTTGCCCCTGATGTTTCCTTTGGGTAATTTTCTATCCACTGACTCCCACCCTGCTCCTTGGCTATAAATCTCCAGTTTTCCATGCTGTATTCAGAACTGAGGAAATTTGGAATTCTATACTGAAGTCTCTTTTCCCCTACTGTAGTAGTTCCTGAATAAAACCTGGTTTTTTACCACTTCAACCACTCACTAGCTCTGGTTTTCTTTGATGGTCTCTTTCTACTTCTTTATATTTAACCCATAGTGTTAGATCAGGGATCTGCAAATTATTTGGGCCTGTGGTCTGGTTTTGTCTGGCCCATCTCAAGCAAAGAATGATTTTTAAGTTTTCACAGGGTTGTAGAAAGAAAGAAAAGAATATTGTGAGACAGACCCCACAGAACCTGCTATATTTACTATCTAGTCTTTTAATGAAAATGTTTGGGCCAGGCATTGTGGCTCACGGCTATAATCCCAACACTTTGGGAGGCCAACGCTGGGGGAATCGCTTGAGGCCAGGAGTTCAAGACCACCCTGGGCAACCTAGTGAGACCCTGTCTCTACAAAAAATACAAAAATTAGCCAGGTGTGGTGGCACATGTCTGTAGTCCTAGCTACTCAGGAGGCTGAGATAAGAGGATCGCTTGAGTACAGGAAACTGAGGCTGCAGTGAGGGGTATTCGTACCACTACACTCCAGCTTGAGCAACAGAGTGAGAAACTGTCTCAAAAAAAGGAAAGAAAGAAAAAGTTTGCTTATCTCTGTGCTAGATAATTATTTGTTGATTGATGAATGGAGGATTCAGTACTGGGTCTCTGATGATCCAGAAAGATCTAATTTTGAGTTAATTAATTGCACTGAATAAGCATTATGAAGAATGGAGAGGAATACAATTCAGCCCTGACCCTTATAGATTTATTAAAGGCAAGATTAATACACAGAAAATATTCTGGAGGACACTCTGATACTGACTATAAGTGCCAAAGGAAAAGTTAAAAATAATAATAATAAAAAAAAGGAAAAAGACATTAAAGCACACAAGAATATATCCCATCACATCCAAGGAACTAGGATGTAATTGGTGCAGGGGAGGTGGTGGTTAGTGACCAATATAATTAGTTGAAAGGGAAGGGGGAAGAACATTCCAGGTTGGAATAAACAAGGGAACAACCTGGAACTTTAATAGAACTGTGAACTTAAAAACAAGAAGGAATGAAGGGATGAAGAACAGTAAATCTTTAAGGATTTGATCATGTCAGCTTTCCAATAAGAGCAATCCATGCCCTACTATCTGCATTTTTTTCAACTTCATTTTACTGTGTAGAATTGAAACAATTCAATATTCATTTGGGTTGGGGTTAAGCTGTATGTTTGAATGAATTCCTTCAATCAGATTTCTTCTCATTCCAGATATTCATTACTCTCATAAGCAGTTTTGAATAGGAAAGGTAAGAAATTTTGGCACACAGAGCCCTTAGAAAGTGTTGCAGTAGAGTTTAAAGGAAGATGTGGTCACTGAGTCCTGGGGTACTTGATGGGGGTAAGCAGAGTACACCAGGATGAGAGAGATAAGTACAGAAAGGACCTGGCACAAAAACAGATTTTTGTTTTTAAATTTTGCCTAAGACCAACTATACAATGGTATAAAGGAAAAGAAAGGGTCTCAGAGTCAGAAAGCCCTGGGTTGGAAGCCCAGATCTGCCATTTACTGCTTTGAGACTTTGGATAACTCACCCCTCTTTGTGAGCTTTGGTTTTCTTCGTTCTAGGGCTAAAGTAAGGAATTCAGTAAAGCATCTGACACTCAGTGGGCATTTAATAAATATCTATTTCCTCCTCCTCACATGACCACACACATAGGCTATAAGAACTCAGGCTAGGCTGGGCGCGGTGGCTCACGCCTGTAATCCCAGCACTTTGGGAGGCCGAGGTGGGAGGATCACAAGGTCAGGAGATCGAGACCATCCTGGCTAACACAGTGAAACCCTGGCTAACACAGTGAAACCCCGTCTCTACTAAAAATACAAAAAAATTAGCCGGGTGTGGTGGCGGGTGCCTGTAGTTCCAGCTATTCAGGAGACTGAGGCAGGAGAATGGCGTGAACCCAGGAGGCGGAGCTTGCAGTGAGCCGAAATCGCGCCACTGCACTCCAGCCTGGGCAACAAAGCGAGACTCTGTCTCAAAAAAAAAAAAAAAAAAAAGAACTCAGGCTAGTACTAAAATTCAACTATACTGTAAATTAAATTTTAGGGGGGCTATCAACTTAATCATTTTAACGGACTTACGAATAAACTTTTTTCTTTCTTTTTTTTTTTTTTTGAGACAGAGTCTCCCTCTGTTGCCCAGGTGGAGTGCAGTGGCGTGATCTCAGCTCACTGCTACCTCTGCCTACCGGATTCAAGCAATTCTCCCGCCTCAGCCTCCCGAGTAGCTGGCACTACAAGCGTAAGCCACCACGCCCAGTTAATTTTTGTATTTTTCGTAAAGACCTGGTTTCACCATGTTGGCCAGGCTGGTATCGAACTCCTGACCTCAAGTGATCCGCCCGCCTCAGCATCCCAAAGTGCTGGGATTACAGGCGTGAGGTACAGCCCTTCGCCTGAACAAACATACAGTTTAGATACAGTTAGATACAGTTTCCTACAATTAGGGCAGTCTTAATTCTGCATATTTCTATGCTAAATTACCATCCTCTGAAACATGCTTTGACAGCAAAAAAGCTAATGGATGCAGTAATGGAAACAATATCCAAGTTACAGAAATAAATAGCCCTGCTGTACTTAGCTCTGATAAGATCACTTCTGGGATAATACATTCAATTCAGGCACTACATATGAAACTAGAACTCATCCTGAAAAGGGCAACTGGGATAATTCTTTTTATTTGAGAGCTGTCACAAAGTTACTGCATTTAACCCTCACGATATCATGAAGCTGGTATGGCAGGCATGAATTCTATATTAGAGATGTAGAAAATTGAGGCTCAAAGAAAACAGGAATGAATCTGGAAATTGAGCACAGATATCACACACGTCCAAAATTTCATAATCCTTTAGAAAGTACTTGAAATTGGGGAAGGGTTTGGGAGGACGGAGGGTTAAAAAACTGCCTTGAAAAACAGAGATTAGGAAGAACTCTAACACTATCTATACACACGGATAAACACACACACTTGTGGAGGCAAAGACAGTTTGTGGAAGTCTACATAAAGTATTGTTAGCAGTACTACTTTGAGGAGCAGAAGTGATGGACAAGGAAGACTCACTTAAGAGTTCCCTGAACTCCTGGAATTAAATTACTGCGCGCCTATACTACATAGAACACATGGAAGTTAAAGTTTTATACCGTCGTGCAAGAACTAGATATGTGCTGAGTGAACCCACCGAGCAGAGCACAGCCACGGAGAGGGAAGGTACTGTCCAGGAGCACACACTTCACTAAACGTCATTTAAAGAGCTGTCCAGCAGCGTAATGTCGTCCCCAGAACCCGTGAGTTCCCGCCCTTCTGTTCTATCATTGTAGGAGGGGCCGACCAGAGGTCCGGGCTCGACCAAAGATCCCAAAGACCCTCCCAAAGCCGAACCCCCTCCTTCGACCGCGGGGAGGGGCCGACTTGCCCTTACCTCGCAGAGGGTGAAGAGTCCGTAGGCCGCCAGCCACACCGTGCAGGTGACAGCGGTGAGCGAACGCAGCGAGAGCCGAGGGCAGCTGAGGCAGAATTCCCGGCAGGACGGGGAGTAGTAGCGGCGCTGCAGGGCCAGGCGGCCGCCGCAGATATCCGAAAAGCTCCGCTCATCTTCCATGACGCCCCGACTCGGCCGCCCGCACCGCACCGCGCGGAGCTAAACAGCGATCGCCCGCCCTAGGCGTCTCGCCCGCTCCAGACCCGCTTCCGGCAGCCGCGTCACCATGCCCCGCCCTAAGCCTGCGCAGCCTCAGTTGCGCGCCGAGAGCCCTGTGTGGGGCTGATGACTGTGCGTTGGTCTGGGCCGGCCTTGACCCGGCTTCTGTGATTGTCTTCGAACAAAGCCCGTCGGGGGCAATAGTTCAGCGGACGGATTAAAACCATTTTTAGACCGGGCGCGTTGGCTCCCGCCTGTAGTCCAGCACTTTGAGAGGCCAAGGTGGGAGGATCGCTTGAGCCTGGGAGGTCGAGGTTGCAGTGAGCCGAGATCATGCCACTGCTCTCTAATCTGTGCGGCAGAGCAAGACCCTGTCTAAAAACAAGCAAATCCACAGTTTTTTTTTTGTTTGTTTTTGTTTTGAGATGGAATGGCGCGAACTCGGCTCACTGCAACCTCCGTCTCCCGGGTTCAAGCGATTATCCTGCCTCAGCCTTGTGAGTAGCTGGGATTACAGGCGTACGCCACCATGCCCGGCTGATTTTTGGGTTTTTAGTAGAGACGGGGTTTCACCATGTTGGCCAGGTTGGTCTCGAACTCCTGATCCCAGGTGATCCGCCCGCCTCGGCCTCCCAAAGTGCTGGGATTACAGGCGTGAGCCACCGCACCCAGCCCAAACCCACAGTTTTAATCACGCTTTTGCTTGGCAAGATGATTTCTTTAAGCCGGAAAGACGCAAGGAGAGTCCACGGGTATTCATTCCACTTTTTTCCTGTGCCGGGTAGTTTGAGGTGCTGAGGATGCAGCAGTGAACGATGTTGATGACAGTCTCTGCCCTCAAGTAGCTTCCTTTCTAGTAGGAGACAATATGGAAATAACTTGAGAATATTGTTGGCAATACTATGCTGACTGGCAGGGATTGACTGAGGACTTTACATAGGGCAGTCATGGGAAGTCTCTAAGAGGACACTGGAGTTACAAAGGGTGAGGAACCAGACAGGACTGAAGGAGCTCTGGAGGAGGAATTTGCCAGAAAGGAAGACCAGGAAAGACAAACCCCTCGAAATTGGAACAAACTTGGCTTAATGAAATAATCAAAAGGCCAGAAAGGTTGATATGTGAGGAAAACAGTTGGAAATGGGGGAGGTAGGTAGGGGTCAGATCCAACAGGGCCTTGTGCGGAGTTTGGATTTCACTGCCTGAGAGTTCTGTCTCCCAAATGACTGCTTGGACCGTGGTAGACAGGCAAGACCTGGCTGGGAATTAAGTAGGAGCGGGAGATACAGATGGAATTGATAATAAAATTACTGAACTCATGAGTAATAGTGGTGTATGGGTTCCATTTTTACTTCTGATGTGACCCAGGATTGGCTGTGTGGACTGTCAAAACACTGGTGATGGGCTGCATGTAGTGGCTCATGACTGTAATCTCACACTTTGGGAGGCTGAGGAGGGCAGATCACTTGGGTCAGGAGTTCAAGATCAGCCTAGCCAACATGGTGAAACCCCATCTCTACTAAAAATACAAAAAAAAATTAGCTGGGCATGGTGGAGCGTCCCTCCCCTAACACATGGAGGTTACAGTTTGACATGAGATTTGGGTAGGCACACAGAGCCAAACCACATCACCCCTTTTACTATTGCATATATCATGTGTTTTATAATTTAAAAAGTGATATTTGCTTATTGTGGAAAATTTGAAAAATACAGAAAAGAAAAAAATGTAAACCACCCATATTTCCATCACTCAGATATAAGTACTGTTAATGTTTTGGGGAAGCCTGTAGTCCTGGAGTTCTTAACTTGGGCTCCATGGATAGAATCAGTGTGTCATTTTTAGTTTCATTAACTTCTAATTAAAATTTAACATTTCTTTTGATTATTAATATAGGCAACAAACTAGTATTAGAGCTTGTGATTTTTGTCACTGACAGAAATCACAGATATTTTCTTTTCACAATAATTGTTTCAAAATATCATTTCTAGTCATTGCTACTTCAGAATTGCAGTAATTATTAAACGCATCACTAGCTATTATTATTTAATGTGTCAAGAGAAACATCACTGTAACACGTTTTTAAAATATTTTGATAACCATATTTTAATATAGTTGATTTTCTTGGAAGTCCTATGTAGTTATACATTTTAAAGTATTATTATAATAAGGGGTCCATTTGTTTCACCAGACTTCCAGAGGGTCTACAATACGAAAGGTACCTGTACAGGCTAAGAAGTTTCTTTTCTTTTTCTTTCTTCCTGGTTTTTTTTCTCTTTTTTTCTTTTTCTTTTTTTTCCTTTTTTCTTTTTTTCTTTTTTTTGAGACAAGGTCTTGCTCTGTCACCCAAAGTTGAGTGCTGCAGTGGTACAGTCACGGCTCACTACAGTCTCAACTTCCTGGGCTCAAGAGATCCTCCCACCTCAGCCCCCAAGTATCTAGGGCTATAGGCACACTTTACCACATCAGGCTAATTTTTGCATGTTTTGTAGAGATGGCATCTCACTATGTTTCCCAGGCTATTTTCAAACTCCTGGGCTCAGTTGATCCTTCGGCCTCAGCCTCCCAAAGAGTTGGAATTACAGGTATGAGTCACCATGCCCAGCAGGCCAAGAAGTTTTACAATTATAGAGTCATAGAAAGAAAAAGGCCAAATGTACTTAATTTTAAAAAAATATTCAATTATTAGGAATAAATACTGTGGTAATACAAGATCTCTAAAATTCTTTTTCTTTTTAGAGAGAGGGTCTTGCTCTGTTACTCAGGCTGGAGTGTAGTGGTATAATCATAACTCATTGTAACCTTGAATGCCTGGGTTCAAGCATTCCTCTTGCCTTGGCCTCTTAAAATGCTGGGATTGCAAGCGTGAACCACTGTGCCCAGTCACTTTTTTGTTTGTTTGTTTGTTTAAGAAGGAGTTTTGCTCTTGTTGCCCAGGCTGGAGTGCAATAGCACAATCTCAGCTCACCACAACCTCCGCATCTCAGGTTCAAGCGATTCTCCTGCTGAGCTCAGCCTCCCAAGCAGCTGGGATTATAGGCATGCGCCACCATGCCCGGCTAATTTTCTGTTTTTAGTAGGGACGGGGTTTCTCCATGTTGGTCAGGCTGGTCTCAAACTCCTGACCTCAGGTGATCTGCCCACCTTGACCTCTCAAAGTGCTGGGATTACAGGCGTGAGCCACCATGCCTGGCCTTTGTTTTTTGTTCTTTTGAGACAGTCTCGCTCTGTCGCCTAGGCTGGAGTGCAGTAGCACAATCTCTACTCACTCCAACCTCCACCTCCTGGGTTCAAGCGATTCTTGTGCCTCAGCCTCCCAAGTAGCTGGGATTACAGGCACAAGGGTTTTAGCTTTCTTACTGGGATGGATAGGCAAAGGTATGTCTGTTCCACCTTTCAGAAGTGGAAGTCTCCTCATCTGTCCATTTAAGGAAATTTTTTAAATTGAGGTATATCCTCCAAGCAGTAAAACACAGTCTGTGACTTACTTTTCCATACTCTAATGGTGTCTTTTGATGAACAGAGGTTTTAATTTTCATAAAGTCCAATTTATCAGTCTTGTCTTTTATGGCTAGTGTACAATATTTTGTCTAGTTTAGGAAGCTTTCCCTGTCTTGTGGGCATGGTGGCTCATGCCTGTAATCCCAGCACTTTGAGAGGCTGAGCAAGGAAGATTGTTTGAGCTCAGGAGTTCCAGACCATGCTGGGCAACATAGCGAGACTCTGACTCTACCAAAAAAAAAAAAAAAAAAAAAACTGCACATGGTGGCCCAGCTACTAGGTATTAGGGAGGCTCAGGCAGAAGGGTTGCTTGAGCCTAGGGGGTCGAGGCTGCAGTAAGCTATGATCAAGCCACTGCATTCCAGCCTGGGTGACAGAGTAAGACCCTGTGTCAAAGGAAAAAAAAAAACAAAAAACTTTGCCTATCTTTCTTTCCCTAGAAGCGTAATTATTTTACCTTTCATATTTAAGCCAATGATCCATTTTGAACTAATTTTTGTTTGTAGAGGTTAAGGGTAATTTTTCTTCCCAGCATCATGTGTTAAAAAGACTACCCTTTCCCCCCAGTTGTGATGGTGCCTTTGTTGTAAATAAGCAACCACATATTTGTCGATCTATTTCCACACCCTCTATTATGTTCTGTTGTTCTATTTTGTCTTCCCTTATGCTAAAAGCAACCTGTCTCAATTACTGTAGCTCTACAGTAGGTCTTGATTTCTCATTCTGTTAAGTCTTTCCATTTTGTACCTTTTCTTCAAAATTGTATTGGCTATCATAGGGCTTCTGTATTTTCACCAAAAATTTTGCTTGGATTGTACTGAATCTATAGTCAATTTAAGGGAGAATTGACACCTTAACTATGCCACATGTTCCAATCCATGAACCTGGCATCTCTCCATTTATTGAAGTCTTCTCTAATTTCTTTTAGCAATGCTTAACAATTATTTGCACATCTTTCATTAGACTTCATTTGTAGGTATTTGATGTTTTCTGATATTCTTTTTTTTTTTTTTTAATCTTTATTTTTTGAGACGGAGTCTCACTCTGTCGCCCAGGCTGGAGTGCAGTGGCCAGATCTCAGCTCACTGCAAGCTCCGCCTCCCGGGTTCACGCCATTCTCCTGCCTCAGCCTCCCGAGTAGCTGGAACTACAGGCGCCCGCCACCTCGCCCGGCTAGTTTTTTGTATTTTTCAGTAGAGACGGGGTTTCACCGTGTTAGCCAGGATGGTCTTGATCTCCTGACCTCGTGATCCGCCTGTCTCGGCCTCCCAAAGTGCTGGGATTACAGGCTTGATGTTTTCTGATATTCTTATAAATGATGTACGTTAAAAATTTTATTACCTCTCCGTTTTTATTTATTTATTTTTAGAGACAGCATCTCACTCTGTCACCAGGCTAGAGTCCATTGGCACAAATATCAGCTCACTATAACTTCAAATTCCTGGGCTCAAGGTATTCTCCCACCTTGGCCTCCCAAAGTGCTGGGCTTACAGACATGAGTCATTGTGCCCAGCCTTGCCACTCTCTCTTTAGTAAGGTATGTTTGGTATTTACCTAACATCAAATTGAAATTTTATAAAACAAAATACATCTATAATCCTGCCACCTAAGTATTCTTTACAAAAGCTCCTATGTCATATAAAATTTGTATTAAATAAATTTATATGCTTCTCTCATATTAATTTTTTTTATACATAGTCTCGCTGTGTTACCCAGGCTGGAGTGCAGTGGTGCAATCTTGG